AACACACTGAGTCCCACCTGCCTAGACACAGTACCCCATCATTCTTTCCTGGGTTGTCTTTCTGGATTTCCATGCAGGAAAGCAGCTGTCTTAGTTCATTTTCCATTGATAATAACATAATACCACACATAGGTAAGTTATAAAGAGAAGAGAGGTTTATTTTGACTCATGGTTCTGGCTCAGTGCTGAAGAGTTGCATCTGGTTACTGCCTTCTTGATGGCTGAGTCTGTAAGCAGTGCAGGATGTTATATGGCAAGAGGCAGGGAATGAACACACATGTTCTTGTCTGTCTTTTCTTATTAAATCACCAGTATTCAATAATGGAAGTACCACACTGATGAAGTTACCTAATCATAATCACCTCCCGAAGGCTCTCCCTCTAAACAGCATACTTGTATTGTTTCTCTCTTAATATTTCACAGTTAAAATTAAATTCCAACATAAATTTTGGTGACAACAAACTATATTGAAATCATAGCAGCAGCACTTTCATACTGGGACCCAGTCTGTTCTAGGCTGTCCCAAACCATCCAGGATTTATTTTGTTCTCCTTTATGGGAGTAAGGAATCTGCATCTTTTTTGGTGACTCATTAGCATGTGACTTATGCTTCCTCCAAGTTCAAGGGAGCTGAAATCAACCCAAGACATTATTCTTTGAAATAACAGATCTTACTGACCTGAGTGAAAGAGAAAGAGGTGGAAGAATGGCACAGTGGGAATCATAAGGGGACTAAGGGTGGAAGGAAGTATCTGTAACAGCAATGATGAAAGTACACTGGTTATATTTTAGGAGTGCAGAGTCTGCCAAAATGTATACATCAGGAAAAGAAAAACTTGTATAAATATTTTAATACTAAATTTATTGAGATATCATGAGATTAATACAAGTTACCTTTGGCCCCTACAATTACAAGAGGTTCTCAAAGTGATGGCCATTAACTTCCAGACACTTATTAGTATGATGAACAGCTGAAGTATGTATATCTTTTTTTTGGTAGCCTCTGCATATTACTCTATCAGGCCAATTTTATGGATGAGAAGAAAGTCTTGTTGAGTAGTTCTGCGATCATTGTGCTGTTACATACTGGTATGCCACAGGTAGTTTTCAATCATATCAAGGTGTTGATGTCCTCTGTCTTTAGTAGATGGGCAGGAAGTGAAACAACTGAAGCTGGTTCTCTCAGCCCAGTCACTTCTGAGGGAGATCAGACTTTTCTCTGTCTTAATATATTAGTCAAAATAAGCTAACTTATTAGCTTAAAATAAGTTATTGTGGTGGATTGACAACTGGTGGTCAACTTATAACACCCAGCTGAACTGAGTAAGCATAGTGCTGGGTGTGGGAGGTCCACCTGAGGTTTGTTGCCAGCAATGTAAGAGGCAAAACTGGAGAAGAAGAGGAACTAAGGCTGTTGGGAACTGAGGAAGGCTGGTGGGAGGTAGTAAAAGGCTGTTGGGAGCTAGCAAAAGTTGTAAGGAGCTGTTGGTCCTTTTGGAGGAGCTTGTCATGCTGGCTTTCCTGATGAACTTGGCTGTTTTCATTCTTCAAGGAGCTCGGGACCTTGTTGGCACTGAAAATAGCATCGGTTCACTTTGGGGGAGCTCTGGTCATTTTGAGCATTGCTTCCTGGCTCTGGAGGGGAAGATGGTGCACTGAGAGTTTCCTGGAGAAGCTTGCTGTGTTGGCGTCCCTGATGGGAACTCAGCTTTCCTGATTATCAGAGGAGCTCGGGACCTCACTGTTGCTGAGGATAGCTGTGGTACCTTTTGGGGGAGCTACAGTTCTTACCATGTGCGTTGCCTCCTGGCTCCAGTGCAGATCCTTCATTCTGCTGGCACAGACTTCCTAAATTCCACCACTGACCTTTGGGCCTTCCCAGTGCAGATCTGTGAAACAGGCCTGCCATGAGATGTTGTTGTGGGTTCTGGGCCTCCAGTTGGATTCATGGGAGGCATTATTATAGGCTCTAGGTCTTCAGCAGGACTCATGCAGAATATTATTGTGGGATCCAGGCCCTCAGCTGAATTCTTGGTCTATAGTGTGTGGACAGATTTCCTGCACTCTCTTGTATATGATTCTTTGCAGGACTATTATAAATAATCTTATAAAATATGTGTTCTGTATTATATTGTTCCCCTTGCAAAATAAACTCCAAACTACTACAGTTATCTATCACTGTAAAACAAATAAAACCTAACATTTATTGCTTAGAAGCAGTATCCATTTTATTTGCTCATGCACTCTATGGATAAAATATTTGTATTATGGTTAGCAAGGAGGTCCTCCTCCTGATCTTTCTTTGGGTCACTTGTGCCGCTGCAGTCATCTGGCAGCTTGTCTGCACATGGGTTTTTCAATGTGGTCTCTTTCACATGTTTAGCCATTGGTGCTGACTAATGGCTGGGTTACATGTCTTTGGCAAGCTAGCCTAAATTTCTTTACCTGTTAGAAGGCTTCACACAAGCAGCACAGAGTAAACTCTAATGCATAAATATTTTCCTTATGCTTACGTCATATTTGCTAATATCCCCATGGCCAAAGTGTGGTACATAACCAAAAAACGATGTGTCAGAGAAGTGAGTATGCAAGGGTGTGAAATCAGGGAAGGGTGGATTCATCTAGGCCATGAAAGTAACAATCTACTACATAACAAACACCTCTGTATATCTCACAAAAAGGCTTATTTCTTTTTTTTTATTTTAAAGATAAAAGGAGGGAAACATTAACAGACATACAACATTTTACAACATATCACAAGCACAATACAGACAATACAGAGTTACAAACAAAGTGGTAGGGAATTAACAATGGTGGTTGTATTACATATTGATATCTTCAAAGTGGCTTCTCATGAAAACAGATATAGACATGCAATACTGGTCAACCAAAGGCTCATTGACAGTTTCTTTCAGCATAGAAATAGAAGACAGAAGAACAACCATGTTATCTATCCTGTATATACATGCATACAAAATTTCTCCTTCTTTCCCTTCTCTTTTCCCACATCCCAGAAGAAAAAGGCTTATTTCTTATATTACAGTTCAATGTACATTGACAAGGAAACTTTATCACAGTCATTCGGGAAACTGGGGCCATGCTATCTAGTGGGTATGCTGTTTTCTGAAACTTCCTGTAAACCAGAAAGGCAGAGAATGGAGGATTGAAGAAAGGATTTAGAGACCAAGCCTAGAAATGTACATCAGTTCCAGCCGCATTTCAGTAGCCAATAGTCTTTTGGGCTTTGGCTGACAGCAAGGGGATTGGGAAATATAATGCTCAGGAAGAAGAGGACAAATACTCATTGGCATGCATTAGTATTCTTTGACACAGTTAATAAAGCTAAACTAAAATTATAGGAGGCCACTATTTTGGACTAAATTCTAGGCCATCTAGTGATTTCAACAATCAGACAAAAAATCAAAATGGACTTATTCACGTTAAAGGTCTATTTCGCCAAAGTCAAAGTTTTTATCTGATCTCCGAAGTTGGGGGAGGGGAGGAGAGAGAGAGACTGACTGAGAGAATAAATGAATACACCCAAATTCCTCAAGCAGCCCAGTTTCAGTGGCCTTGAAACAAGACCCACTAAATCGAAGTAATCCAATGTTAACAAATCAGTCATTTTTCCAGCATAATTTCTCCATTCTTCTATTATAAGGAAAGTAACTTTGAAATGACCAATCTGCTTTTGTTCTTTGTTTTTGTTTTTTTTTAGTTTGTTTTCTGTTTAAAAATCAACCACCACAGCTTAGCTCTTTGTAACAAATTCTGTTTTATGGAGTGAAGTGCTGCCCAATTTTAAAATTACAAAGCCAGTTAAAATTTTGAAACAAATTTTTGTACTATTGTCTTTTGACAATACCTGGTCACCAAATATGAAATATTTGTCCCCTTATTACCACACTATACATATACTGTTCCAGAGACACCCTATCTAGTTCTGCATCCAGAATCTGTTGTTGATACACAGTCCTTTCTGTATACAGGTACAGATATGCTATAGGTGCAGATCGGGTACAGATGTTATCTCGTGCTCAGGTAACCTATATACCATGTAAATACATACTATGTATCTTTCACCTGTTTACCATATGTTAAGTGGTAGAGCACGTCTATAGTGATTTTGAAATACCTCTTGACAGACATTGTGAAGGCTCTTTTGCTGGGGATAGGAGAAATTCTGTTTTTAGATTCTAATTCTGATCTTTGGGGAGAAATAGTCACAGGTTAGGCAAATATTTTATTGTACATCACAGCTTTCCCCACTTTTTTTAGTACCCATAAATGATTCTTGCCTGAATGATTGTGTTTTTTCTAATGGTGATTTTGTGTTTTCATCATTCTTTATATATTAGATTTATATTAGTAGGACCGTAGGTAAGCCAGGGGGAGTTCTGATAAACTTCTCTAACCCCTTGCATACGAAAGAAGCCCACCTGCATATGCCACTATATTAAATAGCAAATTATTATCACTATCATTTAATCACTTAGCTGTTTTTGGCCCGTCATCTTCGTTTAAGATTGCCAGGTAAAATATAGATTTGCAGTTAATCTGAATTTGCTGAATAACGAATAAATTTTTACTGTGTTCCTCAATATTGCATGGGAAAGACTAAAAATTATTCATTGTTTATGTGAAATCCAAATTGGTTATCTTGCTTTTTATTTGTTCAATCCGGCAAAAATTCTCACTAGAATATAAAACACAGGAAGTGGGGAGCCTTTGTCAGGTCCTCAGTGCGCATCGAGGGTGCACAGTGTCGGGCACATAGTAGGAGCCTGTTCTGAACGAATAAGTGCATTATTAAATGAACTAGTAAGTAACTGAATAAAAGGATGCACGGGAACGCTTTGGCGGGCAGTGGGAGAGGGCTGGGAGCACCTGCCGGGACGCCGCCCCCGCTAGGAGCCAGGAGCGGATCCAGGGCTCAGCTCCCCAAGCCTACGCGCCGAGGTCACGTGAGCACGCCCGGTGACGTCATCACGTATGCGCTGTCCGCCTCGCCGGGCTGTGGTGGCGGCGGTGCCTGCTCCGCTGTTGTGGTGAGCGGGAGCTTCCTGGCGACCCGGGCCCAGCACCTACCGCCTGCGGAGCGGTCCAGTCTCGCCGGTGGACCTTGCGGCCCGCTCTCCCTGTCACAGGCTGTCACCGGCAGTCTGGCTGCCTCCGCGCTGGGAGAACATCGCCTCAGGGCCATGTCCAGGCCCGACAGCGTCTCCCCGCGGCCGCCCGCTCCGGGCGGTGGCGGCGGCGGAGGCGGAGGCGGCGGCGGCGGCGGCCCCGCTGCCTGTGGGTCTGGGGGCGGCCGCCGGGCCAAGGGGCTGAAGGACATTCGCATCGACGAGGAGGTGAAGATCGCCGTCAACATCGCGCTGGAGCGCTTCCGCTACGGGGACCAGAGAGGTGAGTCCTGACCCCCACGCCGCGCGGGCGGGCCCGCGAGAGGGCCGCGCCGCGCCGCACACGGGGAGCCGCGGCGGGCCGGGCCGCGGGGGGCGTGTGTCTGGCCTCGGGAGTCGAGGTCGGGGGCTCCAGGCAGGGCCTTTCCCCAGGCTTTTCGCGCTTCGGGCGGCGGAGCCGACGCTCTTCGGGTTACTGCTGAGCTGCTGTAGGTGTCGCCTTCAGGGAGGCGCGTGTAGGCTGCGGCCGTGTGAACGGAGGCGGTCGGGCACACGAGCGCACCGCCAGGGGCTGGGGCTGTTGGAAGCTCAGACGCATCGTGCCGCACACTTAGATTATACCTGCCGCGGCGCACGGAGCGCGGTCCACGTCTTCAGGCTTAGAAAGCTGTCTGGGGTCGCAGAGACCGGCCGCCGACCCTTGGCGTCTCTGCAGCATGTTCATGCTTATTCCAGTTTGCTGGCTTCATTAAGAGAACTCTGGCTGTGGAAGCGTACACTCCAGTCTCGGCCGTGCCCTGGGCAGGTTGATTTTGAACGTAAACGGAGGGAAAACCTCGGCGCTACGTAACAGTAAATCTAGCCCGCAGGAGGGAAATACGAATTCATACGGTTTTGAAAGCAAGGACAATGGGGTTTCATAGTGAAAATCCATAATGCTTGAGGTAGACCTCCTTACAGAGGAAAATAGGCTTCTCGTTAATTTTTTGTTTGAGTTCAGGCTGGCCTCGAACTCACAGCAATCCTTCTGCCTCCTCAGCCTCCCGAGTGCTGGGATTACAGGTGTGCGCCACCACACCTGGCCAGCTTTTAGTTAATTAAGTAAGGACTAAGTTAAAATAGCGATAAAAATGCTCATCAGTAATTATACCAACTCAAGAGTCCAACAGAAATAAGTAACAGAAGTACTCTTTGATGAATGTCATAGTTCTTTATCATTTGTAGGTTTAATACATTAAAAAAATTAACATCAGAATTCTGGTATGCATTCAGTTGTTGAATGAATATTTATTTTACCTATAGAACAAATTTGATTATATGCTTATACAGATGTTTTCAAATTGTTTCTATGTGTATTGCTTGAAAGAAAATTGCTTACCCACAAGTAATACTACAGTATTTTGTTTTTTTTGGTGCAGAAATGGAATTTCCTTCTTCTTTGACCAGTACTGAAAGAGCCTTTATTCATCGATTGAGTCAGTCTCTTGGTTTGGTCTCCAAAAGTAAAGGGTGAGCTGATAGTTCTTCTTACTTTAAAAAAAGATTATTTTAAAAAAATAAATGTGTCTTCCAATGTTTAAATAGTTATTATAGTTTTTACTTTCACATTCTTAATTATACTGTATGTAGATAAAATCATTCAGGTCTCTGTCAAGTTCAGCGTTTTCTTTCCTCCTCCAGTCATGCCCCAGGGCAACACCCACCCCGAAAATGTGAGAAACAGTACAGTTTTCTCTATCCACCTTAGTTTGATAGAAGATGAACAAGAGAAAAAACAGATTTATTAAAATGTTGACCACTTATAGGCAGGGAAAAACTCACTAATGAGTAACTCAAAGTTGGGGCTTATATAGCATCTTAATAATTGATTTAAAAATTTTTTTAGATTTTTTTGGTACTGGGAATGGAACTCAGGATTTAATCTTGCCTGGCAGCCTCTTGTGCCCCTGAGCTATATAACAACTTAATAAAGAAGAGTAACTTAAAAGCAATAGAGCTTTGTGTGATGGTACACACCTGTAATCCCAGCAGTAAGGAAGCTGAGGCAGGAGGATCCCTGAGAATTTCAGGCCAGTCTGGACTTTATAGGGCGATCCTGTCTCATTTAAAAAAAAAGTGATAGAGAAAGGGAAAAGACTTTTTAGGTGTGGCAAATTGTGGAAGGTGTCTAGGAGGAAACTACTAGGAGATAAGGGTTGTTTCACCAAGTTTTGTTATGTCAGCTCCTCCGATCCTCCCTCTGGTTTGAGTCTAGATTTGGTCTCTGTAAGGTTATCCTGCTGTTCTTGGTAAACAGGGATATAGTATGGAAAGGTTTTTCTTGTGTCTGCTTTTTCTTATTTGCCTTCAGCTCAAAATAATCCTTATGCCAAAGTGATGTATTTTGGGGAAGTATATTCTGAATCTCTTCAAAGGTAAATTTTGAAAAATAATTTACAAGGTAAAGTTGATTGAGTAAAAATATTTTTATTTTTGATAGAAACTCCTTTTTCTTTTTAAAAGAATAGATATACAAGATAAATGTAAGTACTGTATTCATAGAACTTATTTCTTTTAATATTAATATATTGTAATAGTAAGATTTGTATTACATGTTCATTATTTTATTTTCTACCAAAGAATCTAACGATTATCTCGGTGTGGTGTTGCATGCCTGTGTGCTAGCACTCTGGAGGCTGAGGCAGGATGATCAGGCACTTAAGGTCAGTCTGACTATATAGTGAATTGAAGGCCAGCCTGAACTACAAAAGTGAGACCCTGTCTCAAAAAACTAGACAGGGTCTTGATACATAGTTCAGGCTGGCCTTAAACTCATTATGTGGCCAGGCTTGCTTTAGACTCATGGTGATCCTCCTGCTTTAGCTGCCTGAGTGCTGGGATTACAGGAGTATACCACCGTGTCCAGCTAAAAGAAAGGAATCTAATGAGTAGAAATGATTAAAATGGAACAAGAGAAAATAGTGTATGTATGGTTATTTTTATTTTTATTTTTAAAAGTCTGATCTTGGGGAAAGGCATTTAAGCTGTCCAAATTGAAGAACTCTAAAATTCTGTGGAACTACATTTATGTGCTACATAATGATGTTTTGGTCATTAACAGACTGTATTGATAGTCCCACAAGATTGTATTGCCTGTTGATGACGTGACCTTAATTGATGTAAGCACAGTGAGTGAAATTGCATTTGTCAGGACATACCCTATTGTTAAATGATGTGTGGCTGTACTTTATACTGGGAATAACTATAGTGGTATCTCTTTTCACCACCACTCTATATACATAGAGTGTAAATACCACTCTATGTAGATACCACTCTTCTCAATATTGGTACTGTTGACATTTTTGGTGTGAAATTCTTTATTCTATTCTATTTTTTTTTTTTTTTTTTTAGCATTTAGGCTGTTTAGCAGCCTACCTAGCCTTTATACCTTACATTCCATTAACAGTCCCAAACCCAGCTGTGACACCTCAAATACCTCTAAACATAGCTAAAAGTTCCCTGCAGAGCAAAATTGCCCCAGATTGGGACCCACTGATACAGAGGTAAAAAAGATAAAATTTCACCTTACCTGTTTTTAAGTTGAAAAGAGGGAAAACAACACTTTATTAAGACAATGTTAACAAAAACATGGTCCTAGCATGAAAGTAGCTGATGTTGAGATGTCTTGTATATATGAATCCTTAATTACTGCCTGAGGGGAGTTTACCTTAGGTCAGTGTGTATTTAGCTTAGGCCAATGCTACAACAGTGGTTAGGTTCCTGAGCCTGTACATATTACGGTATATAGTCCAATGGATAGGTAAACTGCTGTATTTGAAAGTGAAAATACAGAGCTTTATCCAATAATACATGGGCCAAACATATATTGAGATTCATATCTTTCAGCGTCTAGGAAGATATTAGGGTGCACTTGTAATATGTTATATAGTGCCCCTAAGAAGGCATGGGAATAATTTTTAGTTACATTAATATTTATACTAGAAAATATATAAATATTTACACCAAGGTAAAGACTTAATAACTCCATGCCGGGGAAAGACTTAATAACTTCATGCCTTCAGGCCAAATAAATAACTGCACACTTATAAAAAGCTTCCAGTTTCAGAACAGTTTGGATTTCAGAATTATAGGTAAGAGTTTTTTGGCTTCCATTTAAGACAGCTATTTTAAATACACAATTATATAGCTACATCATTGCTATAGTCTTAAATTCTAAACTGCAGACTTTGAGAATGATCTTAGAAAATCAGTCTCTAGGAATACGCTACCTCTACTTCTGTTTAGTAGCTGCACTGTCTTCCTGCCTCAGCCTGATCATTTAAGGAACGATCTAGGATGGAGAAACATCTGGGGAAGGAGTGAGCAAGAAAAAAGTCATCAAGACAAAGGGGGAGAATGAGAAAACACTGAAAAGCCAGAGAAAGAGAGGAGAAAGGAAAGATGCTAAGGGAAGCAAGGCAATGGGGCTTACTTATCTAGTCCTTAACACCTGTAATCTTAAAGACGCAAACCTTTTTGGGAAATATCCTAGTTTTTCCCCTCCCATTTTGATCTTTGAGCAGACTTTGTATAGTATTTAGCTGGTGGTACTTCTTATTTTCAAATGCTTTTCCTTTAAAAAAATTTTTTTTAATGAACAGAGTCACTCTAAATTTACTTCTCACATTCTTTTCATTTACATAAAAAGTTATACCTGACTTACTTTTCATGCTTTTTTTTGGTCGTTCTTTGGCAAAGTTTTTTGTTTTTGTTTTTTCTTAATCTTGTAGCATTAATTCATTGATTTACCAAGTTAATGTTAAGCAAAATAAATCAGACACACAAGCTTAGATACCACATTGTTTCTCTTATATGAGAAACCAAAAATATACCTGAAGACCAAAATAAAAGATACTAGGAAAAAAAAGAGAGGTGGACTGAGGTGGGAAAGGAAGGTAGGGGAAAAAAAAGCACAGCCAGAAGGGAAGAGAGTGGAGGATGTAAAAGGAATTAAGCTTGTTATATACTTGTACCAACTCCTCCTCTTTCTGTGCTGCAAACATGTACTAATAAAACTTTTAAAAAGTGAAGGAACTGAACCAAAGCTAAAGAATGAGAAAATAGAAGTCTTGAAATAGAAACCAAGCTTTCTGACCTATACTCATACCTGGTTGCATCTGAAATACGTATCACCAAACCGTAGTCTCAGCACAAAATGAAATGTAAGTCAGGTATAAATTTGTATGTAAATGAAAAGAATTTGATAAGTAAATTCAAAATGACTTCGTTTAAAAATTTTTTTAAAAGGAAAAGCATTTGAAAGTAACAAGTACCACCCGATAAATACTATACAAAGTCTGCTCAAAGATCAAAATGGGGAAAAACTAGGATATTGATACTCAGGAACATACTGATTTGTTTGTATTGACTTTGTATCTTCTACGCAACTGAACGTAGGTATTCTAGAAGTCTTTGGCCAGTCCTTTTACTTTGGAAACCTGTTTTCTTAATGATAAAGTTTAAAGGGGTTAATCTCTTTGCCGTTGCTTAAGATTCTGTAGTTTAGTTTGGGTTTCTTTGAAGGTTTTAGAAAATAGATCTCAGGGTTCCTTTTTGGTAATATACAATTTTTTCTTTTTGCTGGCCTTTTTTAAAAAGGCTACAGTGTGTGATGGATTCTTTTTTTCATTTCCTAATGGGTTCAATTTAGTTTAGTTTTGATTATTTTTATAAGTGCTCATCTTTTTTAAAATTTTTATTTATTTTTTTATTTTTTGTTTTTGGTTTCTTTCCGGTACTGGGAATTGAACTCACAACTTTGCGCTTGTCAGGCAGGCGCTGTGCCGCTGAGCTAAATCCCCAGCCCCAAGTGCTCGTCTTTTAGTGGAAATATTCTTTTAGTCATACCATACTTTGGTGGCCTTTAGTGTAACCTGAAGTTTTCTTTGACAGTCTTGTCAGGTTTCACATACAAAAATTTCTCCTCATATTTTGTTTGCTTTTTTCCTCAACTTAAGTCACTATGTTTTGGTTCTAAGAGTAAACTTTCCTCAGTCTTTGGCTTCTTCATATCCAAAACCATAATCTCTGTCCCGTTTTGCTTATTCGAGGTTAGACAAAATAGAATTTACAAAATAAACTTCATTAAAAATTTGTGAAATGAAGAAATACAAAGTGTGTGAAAGGTTTTCCAAGTACATGTTTCTTATACTGAGACTGCTAAAGTCACTACTTCATTGGTACTGGAATACTCTTCTGACCTCTTTTCACAAGGCTGTACAGCACAAGAAAGACTCTTTTTATATTTAGGTTATTACCTCCCTTACCTCCTGCTTGAAAGGTTTCTTGCCTCCCCTCTCCCCCTAGTTAAAATAGGAAAAATGGATTTAAAGCAATGAACTCGTTAAATTTTTAGACATCCATTGAAAAAGAAACCCTGCTGTGTCCAATGATAAGAACAGAAGGCAACATTTAAATACTGTTATGCAACAGGCATTGTGCTAGATATTTAAACAGTTAACATTAAAACTTTACAATAGTTTTATAAGATGGGTTCTGTTAATAACATCTGATAACTGTATAATAGGAGTCAATTAAAGCCTAGAGTTGTTAATTAATTTTTCTAAGATCACATAGCTAGCAAGTGTCAGAGCGAGGATTTGAACACTGTTAATATTTAGCAAATTGGTTTTATGGTTTACTGTGAGTTTATACTATTGTACTGGGTCCAATGAGGAATTAGAACAAAATATTAGATCTTATCTTCAAGTTACTTATAGCCCGTTAAGAACATTGTATTTACCGCATAGTGTGGTACCACAGGAAAGCAGCTGTGTTCATTTTAGTGATAAAATAGTTAATTGGTTGGTTTATTATTTTCAAATTATAATAGTGCAAATTCTAGTAGTAAATTGTAATTCTGTGTTATACCACTGGACAGAACATGATCCAGAGCTAGATTTTGGCATTTATCTGCCTAATGGAACTGTAAGTGGAGATACAAAATTAACAATTTTGCTTTTTAAAAACAGTAACTCCTTAGTGGCTGTCAACTTTAGTCATTTTCTTTGAGTAATTTTGGCTCTTTATCTGATGTTTTAAATTATTCTCAAACTTGGGAAGTAGTACATGTTAAGACATGGTTGTTGAGTTAAAAATTCAGTAATTTGGTCATTGAATTGATTAATATTAGAATTGTATTAAATTTGACTAGTTACATTATCAGTTTTCCTTTTTTGGCAGTGGAGAGAGTTCTAGGGAATAAATCCAAGACCTTGCATATACTAAGCTTGGGCTTTTCCACTGAACTACATCAGTGACCTTAAAGTGGTAGCATATATCATTGACACTGGCAGTGGTGAATATAGTAGGAACAAGAAGGAGTAGTAGCCAGAGGTTGAATCTTTTACTAAAACAAACATATCAGGTTGATGCTGTGTTTGTGCCCTATCAGCTGTGCTAAAGTTGAATACACGAAATTTTACAGTTTAGTAATTGTAGTGGCTATGTATTTAAACTTGCTTAATATGAATTACTTTTATACACAAGTACTATATTAGGCAACTTACGTTAAGAAAATTTCAGTTCAATCCATTATTTTGTCAGTAAACTTGTCAAGGAAGGAGTGTGTTTTAGTTTGTAATTTCAGCTTCTATAGGTTCTGGCAGATAGTAGATGCTCAGATAATATATGGTAAATAATTGAATGAATGAATAATAGAAAAATTAGTTAAAGGTGAAGTATAGCAAAACCTTCCTGAGATGATTTTTAAGAAAATATAGAATTGCTAGATGAATGAGAGACTTTATTAGGCAGTATACACTGTTGGAGAAATAAAACAGTTTAATTGTAGTCAAACAATTAGTTGAAAGCCGGGCATATGGCTCAGCACACAGTGCCTGCTTGGCAAGTGCAAGGTCCTGAGTTTAATTCCCCCTACTAAAAAAAAAGGAGTATTACTAGACAAACACTAGACTGCTGATTTTTGATCTAGTGGTAATTTCAGTATATCTTCTTTTTGTGAAATGAATATTGTGAAGTTTCAGAAAGGTTCACAGGAAAAGAACCTACTATAGAGAATGTCTCTAGAATTCAATAATTTTGATTTATTGTGGAAACAACTAAAATTTTTAGATTAGCTTAAGTTTTAACTTTTTTATTTCATAATTTAAGGGATCACTGAGCACTTAAAGAGTTGATGATACATGGAAATCTTCTAATTCTTTAAAGAAATTCATTAAGGAGTTTCCACATATTAAATATCTTGGTAAAATGAAAGCCTCACTTAAAAGACTTATGCAGATAAAACTGTACAGGTTAATTTTCGGTTTAATACTTTTCTGCACTGAAGATATTGTTGATAAATTTCAACTTAATAAGTATAAGAAAAATAAAATTGTACATTTTATTTTCATAATATTTGTGACTTTGTTGCTCATTTTTATAATACCTTGTGTGATGACAATATTAACAAATTATAAAACATTTATGACATATTTGGATACTTTTTTTTGAGTTTAAGAAATATTTTTTCCTGACAATAATTGTAATAGCTTTCACTTATTTAGAGCCTAATCTGTGAGAGATGCTATACTTTAAATGGCACCATCTTAATCGTATGAATAGTCCTTTGAAATATGTATTCTTTTTAACTTAGGCTCAGGACCATTAAGTAATTTGGTTATAGTCTTACAAGCTAGTAAATGGTAGAACTGGGATTTAAATTCTGGTCTGTGTGCCTTCATAGCTTGAGCCAACACTATATTGCTAGATTATAGTCATGTATTACTAAATTAATCAAAACATTTGGAGGCTTGCTGTGTGCATAACATTTTACCTAGTATTCTTGGAGCTACAGAAATCATAAAAGACACAGTCAGGTCTGTCATAGTTGAAGAAACAAACCTCCAGCAAATAACTTGAATAGTTTAGGTCATCATTACCTTATAATTGAAGTGTCTGAAGCTTTGAAAAATTTCTTTTGTTAAAAAAATATACTGTAAGTAGTTGTCAGTAATGGAGCTTTATGTATTTTGTGGTTCAGCCACTAAAACTGGCTGTATTAACAGATTTTCATGGGGGTATGACATTAACCAATATATGGAACCATTCACTATGGAAGCATTTAATGAGATATACTAATCTGAAGAGTCAACCATAAGTTTTTCATTATTATTTTTTGGTTTTTTGTTCAACCCTCCCCTCTGTGCTTCTCAGCATGTATTAATAAGTAATGTTTGTTTGCTAAAGACAAATTTTCATAGTTCTGGGTATGTAGGCCTTTTTGCTTATTTAAAATTGGATTTGCAGCATTTTGAAATTTTATTGAAAAAGTCTGTGACCACTTGAGCTCAGAGTCATTCTTTACTGAATTTTTTGGGACTTTTAGTATCTTAATGAAACATTTTGATTTTTTCAATGTTTTGCTTGAGACATATTTTCTAAGTAGGCATACATCATATTTAAACAAACTGACTATATATAATAAATAAATGATTTTTATTAATATTCAGAAAGGGAGCAAATAGATACCTAACTGTGAAGAAGAAAGATGGATCAGAAACAGCTCATGCAATGATGACCTGTAATTTGACTCATAATACAAAACATGCTGTTAGGAGCCTAATTCAGAGATTTCCTGTCACCAATAAAGAGCGTACTGAACTTCTGCCTAAAACAGAAAGAGGAAATGTGTTTGCAGTTGAAGCTGGTATGTATTTTCTGGGGAGCTTCCTTGTTTACCCTATAATTTGATGACTGTTCTTTTTTCATTTTAGGTTTATTTAAAAAGACTAATATGAAATGAAATAAGTTTTCTCGGGTTGAATAGTTTGTCAGAAGTTATTAAGAATTATGAAAATTTTGGGACATCATAGAGTTAGACCAAGTTTTTTTTAAGTGTTATAATGATAGTTATTGTGTATGGTTTGTTTACTGTGTAGGCAATATACTAACCCTTTATGTAAGACCTTGGCAAGGTAAGAATTTTCCCTATTTCACTGAGGAGGAAACTAAAACTCATAGGAGTGAAACAATTTGTTCAAAGTCACTCATCCAGCCAGTAAACTGCAGAGCTAGGAGTTTACTCTGAAGTTTGGACCTTCCCATATTATACATGATACACTAATTAATAAGAGTTTGAATTGTTGGAGCTTTAGTTTCTGCTAAGGGATGGGGCACAAACTTTGGTATATTAAATTGCTCAAAGGTGATAAGTAATACGTTTAGTTTATAAAATGAAGTTGTCATTTTACTATTTGGAAAAATAACTTCAAAATGAGAAAAGTATTGTTTATTGCCTCTGGTGACCATTTGCATAATTATTGCCTATTGGAGCAGTTCTACATCATGTAGAAAGCAGATATCAAAGAACTTATTTTAAGTACAGGCATACTTTTTGAGCTATACAGAGAATATAAAACATACCTTCTTTATTTCTATACTACCTGCTTAGTTAAATGTGAATATTGGCTAAAGAATGCTCAATTAGGATATTAAGTTTTAGAATATAATGCTTAGACATTACACGTGTTATTCTGTTTGATCACTTGATCTTACATGTGTAACTTTAAACATATTTTTCTTTTTTGCAGTGTGTTTTCATATTTATGTAACAGTTCTGATAAGTATAAAATACATTATTTTCTACTATAAAATTTTAAATTTCTGTGACCATTGATACAAACATAAAAAACTGAATATAGAGTATAAAAATTGTGTTTGCTTTTTTTGTTTGTTTTTTTTCCGGTACTAGGAATCAAATTCACGACCTTGCGCTTGCCAAGCTGGCGCTGTGCTGCTGAGCTAAATCCCCAGCCCCTGTTTTTGCATTTTAACAGCTATTGATGGATTAATTTTTATTCAGTTTTATACACTATGCATCAGAATTGCTTTTGAGAGGTTTGCTTTGTAATTGATAACTGACATTTCTAGCATTCTGTAAGCTTAGCAAATGTACAACAGTTGAGGCATTGCATGCTAACTTTATGTAAACTGAGCAGACAAGAAACGCTTGAAAGGAATTACATAGAAATTATTATGCTTATCTTTTAACACTTCTGTTTCAGTGTTGATCAGTCTTTCTTTATTTTTTCATCCTCAAAGAAAACCGAGAAATGAGCAAGACAAGTGGACGACTCAATAATGGCATACCTCAAATTCCAGTGAAAAGAGGAGAATCTGAATTTGATTCATTCAGGCAGTCTTTGCCAGTGTTTGAAAAACAAGAAGAAATTGTTAAAATAATTAAGGAAAATAAAGTAGTTTTGATTGTAGGAGAAACTGGGTCTGGAAAGACTACACAGGTTTGTTTTTCCTTTGTTGTTTAAAGAAAATAAAAATGATCCCACGTTGTAGTTTTATATCATATTTATACTACATCTGTTTAAACAGAAAAATAAACTTCTAGTTTTTCTAGCAGTTATTTCAGAAATAAATTAGTGTTGGGAATACACTTTGAGAATTTGTACAAAAGAAATGCTTTAAATTATTATCTTTAAACTGATACATTTGTTCCTTAATAAGACAGAGGTGAGGATGGGGTGTAGTATCATAGAAGGAACATAGATTTAGCCTTGGACTGAAATACTAGTTTTTCCCTGTGTTGGATATGAAGTTTTAGGTTAGTTTTCTAATGTACGTGAGCAAGAGACTTTATTTATAAGATGGGGCTAATAATTGCTACCATTTAGTGTGAAGTTTAGAGACAATTTTGATAAGAGCACCCTACATAGTGCTTTACATGGAGCTAAAGTAAAAGATGTAGAATAAATAATACAAAATCCATTGACTGAAGAATGAATTAATGTGATAGCTTTGACATGGATATTTAAAATCAAAGTACCTTATTTGAAGTTGCACTCAATTATGAGAGGTTGGAAAAAGTATGGCACAATATGGCCTTTTTAAAATGTTTTTTCATTTCCAGCATTTCGGTATTAAAATCAGTTTGCTTTTGGTAAAGGCTCAGATAAAATATATTTGCAGATTTTTGTCTATGGAAATAGGTGCTTTTTAAAATAGGTTAAGAGCCAGGGATATAGTTTAGCTGCACAAGTGTCTGCCTGGCAAGCACAGGGTCCTCAGTTCAATTCCCAGTACCAAAAAAAAAAAAAAAAAAAAAAAAAAATAGGTAAGATTTCTTATGGTTATATTGGTTACTTGCATAAACTTTGTCCCCAGGTAGTAGAATGTCTTAGTCCATATTTTGTTGCTTTTAATGAATACCACTGACTGGGTCATTTATAAAGAATAGAAGTTTCTGTGGCTAACAGAGTCTGGGAAGTCCGAAAGCATGGCACCAGAATCTGGTGAAGGTTGTGTGTAGTATAATATGGTAGAGAGCGTCACTTGGGAAGCCAGAGCAACTGTGCCTGCGTAGATCTCTTCTAATTGCACTGAGGTCACCATAGAGGCCCTACCATCTTTACCTTATCCAACCACCACATTTACCTCTGAAAGACTCCATCTCCAAACACATCAAGATAATTTGTTAATTAAGTTTCCTACTCACAAACTTTTGAGGATCATATCAAAACATAGCAGAGGGGCTGGGGATTTAGCTCAGCGGCAAAGTGCCTGCCTGGCAAGCGCAAGGTCGTGAGTTCAATTCCTGGTACTGGAAGAAAAACAAAACAAACAAAAACATAGCAGAGAGTTTGTGAATTTTATCAGGTCCTAGCTTGTAGGATTATACCTTTTCACAGAATGATTCCTTATCATTAAAACTTGAGCCTATAGAACTAAATAATTAAAAATATGGCATTTTAAACTGAAGAGTGTATGGATTTTTCTTCAGCATAAGTCTTGGTATGATCAAGTGAAATAGCATGGAATTACTTTAAAAAAATCTGAATGTCTTAGATTGTTACCATTATTATTAGAGTACATTTTATCATTAGGTATTAATTATAGCCTTTTTAATTACTATGTTGAATGGAGATTAAACATGGAAATTTTGATAGAAGTGTTTTTATTTTACTAATATTATAATTAAAATAATTATAATTATTATTATTTGCAGTACTAGTAATTTAATTCAAGGCCTCCTGTATGCTAGGCAGATGTTCAATGACTGAGCTATATTTTCAGCCCTTTTTATTTTATTTTGAGACAAAATCTTTTTAAGTTGCCTAGGCAGGGTTTGAATTAGTGATCCTCCTGCGCTGGCCTCCCAGGTAGCTGGGATTACAGGCATATGCCTCCACATCCAATTTAAATTATGTCTTTCATAATGATACTAGGATATGGAATTATAGATGTCTTTTTTCACAATTATGTGTTATTTTATTAGGTATGAAAAGATAATTTAGAATTTTGCTAGTAAATATACACTTTGTTTTTCAAGAAGAAACTGTTAATCTAATGGGTTTAAATGTAACAGTCTTGTTGAGAGAGCTGAGGTAAAATTACCAATGTTTCTACTGTCTGAAATATAAAATAAAATAAAGTAATATCATTGGCCAAATTCATCTTACCTTTAATGGTATTAAGAAGTTAAATGCTTTTTGAATTTTTCTCCTTTATTCCTGTTTATTATGCAAAATTCAAGCATATGGAAAATGTTACAGAAATAGTGAAAGAATTATAATTCTTTTTCCACCATCTCTCTGAATTATTGCCAGAAATTTGGAGTATGTTTCTAATTTTGGGGGGTTGTTTGTATTCTTTGTTTTTGTTCTTTTCACCACATTGATATAGGCAGGTCTTTTAAAATAAGTATTTCTTTATAATATTGATATGTAGTATTTTTTAAAAACACCTGTGGGATAATGACATATGTACATTTTTTATCTTCTTCTGCTTAGCAAAAATTGGATACTTTTTCATGTCAGTACCTAGAGATATACCTCATTTTAAAGACAACTGCATAGAATTTCTGAATATTTTTATAATAAAAAATATTTACTGTATGCTGAGTTCTTATAGCAGTTGTGTCATTTTAGCCTCTCAGTATGCTTTGAACATATAGATTTTATTACCTCTTTTTACAGATAAAGATGAAAAACTAAAATTTATAGATGTTAATCTACCTTGGTTTACATAAATAGGAATTGGTAGAGCAGGAATTTATTTTTACACTATATTTACTGTCTTATATTGATTCCTAGTATTTCTTTGCTTATATGAGGGTTTCAGTAGGATAAATCCTAGAGGGGTAAATCCCCGATTAAGGATAGTATAGTTACAGTTTTAGTAGCTATAGTAACTATTTATGGTAAACTTTAAAAAGAGTTTATGAATTAAGATAGTTTTGAAAGTACTATTCTCTAAAGCTTGGTTAAGAATGGATTTAAATACATATTTAGTATGTGTTTTACTTTTGTCAATGTGGTAAGCAAAAAATAATGTTTTTATTTGCATTTCTCTGGTCCTGAGAGACTTGAGTATCTTTTTGTTTGCTTATTATCTGCTTATTTTTCTGAGTTCCTTACTTATATCCCATTTTTCTTTTGGCTTATTTATTTTGAATTTACTTTTGAAAACATTTTTGTATATGTTATGGATATGGGCCTGTTGCTGGTTAAACATTTAAAAAATAATTTCTGCAGATTTTTTGTTTGCTTTTTAGCTTTGCTTATGGTATCTTTTTCAGTAGTTTACATTTTTATTTAGTTGACTCCATCAACCTTCTTTTTGAGTTGAGGCCATGATAAAGTTAAAAACTACTTTCCTATAAATACATTTATTTAAAAAATTCATGAAGAATTTATTTTATTGTATCATAGCAGGTACAAATCTTACCTTTGCTTTATGTCAATATCTAATCTTTCAAACACAAGTTTTATTTAATTATCTACCCTTCCCTCTGTTTTAAGATGCCATTTTTAAAGATCAGTTGTTATAGGTCTATTTCTGGAATTTTTATTGTGTATCTCTAATCTCATTATCTATTTCTGCACCAGGATCCTGTTTTTTACTTTAATAATTTACAAAATATGGTACAAATTCTTTATTGTCTTCTACTTTTTTGAGTGGTTGTGGTAGAGTTAGTTTGCAGTGTATATTTGTAATTAATCCAGTCCACTTTCAAATGACACTATACCATGTCACAGGTTGTGTATCTTACTTAAAAAGAATCCTAATTCTTGCCTCCTTGTCCCTTATTATTCTTGTCATTCATTTCACTTCTAAACAGGCATACATATATCCCCTTCTAACATAAGATGTGTACATAAACCTAAGTAATCAAGTACATTGCTGCTGTTACTATTTTGAACAAACTTGTCTGTTAGGTCAATTAAGGATAAGAAAAATAAGTTTTGATTTTACCTTCACTTAGTTTTTCTAGATGTTCTTCCTTTCTTCATGAAGATCTAAGTTCCTGGCCTGTATTATTTTTCATTTTCCTTCTCTCTGAAGAACTCCCTTTGTTTGGAATATTTCTTCTTAGACAGTTTACTGGTAACAAATTCCATCAATTTTCATTCATCTGAGAAGGTATTACTATTTCCACTTTTGAAGGATAATTTTGCAAGGCGCAGAACTTTAGGTTGGTGGATCTTTTCAATATTTTATTTTACTCTGTTCATCTTGCTTATCTGGTTGAAGGAGAGGTCTTCCCTGTGTCTGAGAAGTCAGAAGTAATTATCTTTGCTCCTCCATAAGTAAGATTTCTTTTCCTCGTTCAGATCTTTTCTTCATCTTTGACTTTCTGTAGTTTTAAAATTACAGACTTTAAAAACATTTCTTATGCATTTATGCTTTTGGATGAACTAGTTAATTAACAAAAATCCTAGAGGCTAAGAAACTTATGAAAAGATTTTTTTCACTCACATTTAAAGAAATGCAAATCAGAATATATAAGCTATCAGACTGACAAATTTTAAAAAATGATGGTAATTCTGTATTTGTCAGGGTGTTGACAAGCAGCCCTTCTACTTTGTTGGTGAGGATATAAATTGTTTTGGAGGATAATCTGATAATTTTTCTATCTAAGTTAAAATATGTGTATACTCTGGACATTTCTTTCTTTTTTTTTTTTTTTTTTTTTTTTTTTTGATGGGGTCTTGCTGTGTTTTCAGGCTGGCCTTGAACTTAATATGTAGCCCAAGCCTACCTTGAATTCACGGCAGTCCTCTTACCTGAACCGTCCAAGTGCTGGGAATACATACTCTGAACATTTCTGCTGCTAGTGATTTGTATCTTTGCAAAAGCATGTTAAGATAGATGTTCACTACAGCATCATTTTTTTTAATAGCAACAAATCAATAACATGAAAAATTGGAAATTGCATAAATATTTGCTACATTATTTGTTAGATTATGGCACATATGTAAGGTGGAATATGTAGCTGTTAAATGGATTATACAGATTTGATACATTAAATGAAAACTAGTAGTTATAAATATCAAGTGCAGTGGTCATTTTGAATAAAAAACATGTTTATCTATGTAAGGATTCTGAATTGTGTAAGTTTTCTTTTATTGCAAGTGTTCATAAGAAATGTTAAAACAGTTACTTTATGGGGGAACACTTGGTGGTGAGGGTGGGTGGGTAAGATTTTTTACTTTTTATTTTGAATGTTTAGAATCCTCTTCAATTTTATTTAAAGTATTTGAAGTCTTAGGATTATGGGCTATTTTTGTTTTCTTTATGTTATTTACTATTTAAAAAACAGCAATTAAATTTTTAGTGTCATTTATTTTATAATTTGGCCTTATAGAAAATTTATATAGACTTTATAGAAAATTAATGTTTTTAAACTAGGGATTATTCTCCTTCAGGAATACAAAATATTTCTTTGTATATCCAGGTCTTCTTTTCTGTTTTTAAGACTGTTTTGTAGTCTTTTTCCTATAAGCCTTAACTATTTCTTGATAAACTTGATTGTAAATATTTTAGTTTGTTTCCATTGTGTGCAAGATGTTTTAAAATTACATTTTTAGCTGATTATTACTGGTTATATAAGAATTATTTATATTTGGGCATATTACAGAACTTTTTTAGTTTTAAAGTTTTTACTCTTTGTTCACTTGCACTTTTGAGGTATGCAAAATAATTGTCATTTTATATTTTAAAACTTCTGTTTCAGATTCCTCAGTTTCTTTTAGATGATTGCTTTAAAAATGGTATCCCCTGCCGTATATTTTGTACTCAGCCAAGACGATTAGCAGCTATTGCTGTGGCTGAAAGAGTTGCTGCAGAGAGAAGAGAAAGAATTGGTCAAACAATTGGATATCAGATTCGATTAGAAAGCAGGTAAAGACAGTCCTAATTTTTGTTATGCTTATAAAAGATGAAATGTACATATATTTCATTAGAAATATAGGATGTGTTAATTGAAAAGTCAAATGGTTATTTTTTTCAATGTAATTCTATATTGAGATGTTCAAATCGTGTTTAAACTTAGTGACTTTTCGAATAAGTGGTTTGAAAGAGTTTAGACTGAGATACAAATCCCATTTCATAAGTTTCATGGTGAAGTATAAGTTATTTCACCTCTTTGAGCCTCAGTTTTCTTTATAAAATGAGACTAATAAAACATATTAGACTAATAAAACATCCAAATTTGATGTGAAGTTTATAGAAAACAATGAATTTTACTGAGTTTTACAAGTTGAATAACCTTTATCCAAAATGTTTGGGACAAGACATGTATCAGATTTTGGAGTTTTTCAGATTTGGGAATGTTGGTATGTAGTTTACTGGGTGAGCATCCTTAATCTGAAATGCTTTCAAATCTGAAACTTTTTGAACACTTTAGATTTTATATTTTTGGAGTAAGGATGCTTAACCTCCAGTAGGGCTACAAATGGCTTCTTAATAAGGGGTACTAGTGTGTGTTAGCGTTTATGTGTTTGTGTTTGTGTATTGTAGTGCTGGGGATCGAATTCAAGGCATTACAAAAGCTAGGCAAGCACTCTATTGCTGAGCTGCCTTTCCAGCCCTGTTTGTTTTTAATAGTGGTTAAAATACTGATTTCATTTATTATGTATTCTTTACAAGTAAAATATATTTGAAGTTGTTTTAAAAATCTATTTTAAAACCAAATACATTATTTAGTTAATAAAAAGCTACTAGAAATAATACATTTGTGAGGTTATAAGGCATAAAATACATACTTCATGTAATTTTGTTAATAAGCTGTATATACCAGCACACTGTTATGTTAGTAATATTTATTCAAACATATGTCACCAGCATTTAAAGTGGTTATGTTTTAATTACAGAAAAGATTTGTAATTGTTTATTTTATTCTTTAAAAAGGGTTTCTCCAAAGACACTTCTGACATTTTGTACTAATGGGGTGTTGCTTCGTACATTGATGGCAGGTGATAGTACATTGTCAACTGTGACACATGTTATTGTGGTAAGAATACTGATGAATTTGTCTACATAGTTCAGATTGTGTGACATTTAAATACATAATTATATTTTTAAAAGAGGGTGAAATGAGATCTAAATATTGTTTTGAAGCGGCTAGTATGGTCAAGTTTTTAAAATAATTATTACATAAGGGTATTTTTACCATTGGGCCTTATGTGAGAAAAGAAAGCAAAGCAGTAGTTTTAAAAACACGCTTTTCATGTATGAAAATGATGCATGTACTTAAAGAGTTCTCCAGAAATAGTTTTATCTCTGTGCTTGGTCACCTTATCCCTTCTTCAATATCATGTTTCCTAGTTTGAGAATGCATTACTTTACAGTCATTCAGTTTCATGGTCAAGCTGCTAAATTAGTTACCTCATGATAAAATAAGATGCATTACCCTCTTATTAAAGAATTTTAAGTTTTTTTTTTTTTTTTTTTGGTTTTTCTCCGGTACCGGGAACCGAACTCACGACCTTGCGCTTGCCAGGCAGGCACTTTTGCCACTGAGCTAAATCCCCAGCCCCAAGAATTTTAAGTTTTTATCTAGTTTGTATCAGAAAAACATTAGCTTAAGTTTCGCAGGCTTTTAATAAGCAAGTTTTGGAAACTTACCCAAACTAAAGGATGCACCTAAGCCCTGATGCCAACAGAAGTCATTTAAATTGATTTTGTTTATATTTAAAAATGAGACTCTATTAATTTGGAATTTTTTATAGTTTATGTAGCTTTATATTTTATGGGGAATACTTTGTCATCTGCAGTAAGTTAATGAAGTCTGATTATTTTCAGATTATCCATAATACAGTATTTTTACTAATATTGATTGACTTTGTCCACATTTAATTTGAATTAGTGTAAGTCCAGCAGTGCTATTATTTTAAAGACTTAGGCATCCATAATGTGTTTTAACTGTTTTGTGGTTTTATTTCTGTTTAGGATGAAGTGCATGAAAGGGATCGATTTAGTGATTTTTTACTTACAAAGTTAAGAGATTTGTTGCAGAAGCACCCAACTTTGAAATTAATTCTTTCTAGTGCTGCTTTGGATGTAAATCTCTTTATAAGATACTTTGGAAGTTGTCCAGTGATACATAGTAAGTTAAATTATAACATTTCTTCTGTAATTTGTATGAAAAATACTTTGGAGTTTAATGTTTTTCTAGCAGAAATTAGAGTGTTCTAAAGCAGAGGACATCATCTATTTTCTCTTTCCTATGAGATAGGTTTCATGTTCTCTGTCTCTGTTGTTCTTGCTTACTTTTCCATCTACAGCTCTTTGGCATTGTGTAGTAAACCCAGCTCTCTAACCTTAAAAGAAATAGGTTTTATTTTGGCCTGATGTTCCTCTTTACATCCTGTCCTGTAGTGTCTTCCCTTTACTCTAGATTCCTTAGGAAACTAGTCTACATTCTCATGTTTACATCTCATTTACTCCTGATTACTTTTGATACTTATCTTTTGCTCTTCTTCTTTAATAAAAACTGATTTTGCTCCATCATTAAAATTTTTAAAAATTCCTCTTCAAAAATTATAAAAGTTGTATACATACTTTAATGAAATTATACAAATATTTCTCTAATGAAATATAGAGAAAAAGTTCATAGTTGTCCCTATCCTGTTCTTGTTCAATGGACTATGGATTTTAAAAGCTTTGTATCTGTCTTTGTTGGATGGCCATGCTCATCATATATATGTATGCTCATTTTTACAAAAATGAACACATATCTAATATATTATTTGTAATTTATTTATGACAATAAATCATGTGTATTTCTCCATTTTGGGTGCTCTGGATCTAGTTCATTATTGTAATCAGCTGTTTTAGTATTTTATAATATGGCTTTACCATGACTTATTTAACCACTCCTTTATTACTGAATATCAGATTAGTTTTAGATTTGCTATCCTTAGAAACCTCCACTGTAAATACTTTTATAAAGAACATCCTTGAATGTATGTCCTGTTATATACTTCTAGGGACAGATTTTTAAAAATGAAATTACTAAGTAAAAAAGTATATCATTTTTACTTTTAATAGCTTTTGCCATTTTACTTTTTCAAAAGGCTGACCTGATTTGTAGTTTTGAAAGGTGGGGGGCTGCTCACATGTGAAGTTCTAGCAGTACTGTTTTAACACTGATCTAATTGCCAAGTCTAGTATTTGGATTTTGGGCAAAACATTATACTTCAAATTTCTGTATTATTTCTCGTGATTGCCCTGCCTTTTTTTTTTTTTTAATGCTCAGAGTTCCTATTCAGTTCTTTTCTTTTTTGGCTTACTGCTTAAATACTGGTGTTTTCTAGGGTTATTCTCTTGATCCATTTCACCTTTCTATTTATTCTTCCTTACATTTCTGTCCTCTTTCTTCCTTTTGTTTTGTTGCGCTATTGGGAATCCACATTTAATTTCTCTGAAAGCTCTCATTTATGCCCTTGGTTTCTGCTTTCTCTTGTCTACCGATGACCCATATATATTTTCAATTCACATTGTTTTCCAGAGCTTTGGACTTAGATATCTTATAGGCATCTTGCTTCTAATATCCCCCAAACTGAATAGTTAATCTACAAAGCCTGCTTCCTTCTTTTCCTGTGTTGCCTGTTGTGGTTAATCATACAACTGTTGCCCTTCTTCATTGAAGTCACATACCTGTAAATTCTTCTCATAATAGTTTCTTGGGTGACTAGACACATTAAATCTGTGCATCTGTTAATTAAAATGTTGTCTTGGTACTCATATTTGATGTATATTAAATCAAACCTTAACTTCTATCCATTTTGTTTCTCCTTTCAGCTTTCCTTGTTACTGCAGAGTAACATCTTTCTGGCTATGCAAGACAGACATCCAAGAATTATATTTGACACTTCCTCCATTATTATACCTTCATATCCATTGTAATACTGAGTTCTATGTGTTTTACCTCCTGTCTCAAGAATCTACTTCTTTTCCATTTTCACTATCACTAGTCTTACTAAAATTATTTTCATCTGTTACCTGAGTTTACCATAGTTTATACCTGGCCTAGTTTCATTCTAATTGTATGTATGTATTTATGTATATATGTATGTATTTACTTATCTATCTGTTCATCTGTCTGTCTATTTATTTATTTTGGTACTGGGAATCAAACTCATGACCTTGTGCTTGCCAGGCAGGTGCTGTGCCACAGAGCTATATCCTTGACCCTTCTAATGGTCTTATCAGTTCATTCTCACACCACAGCCAGAGTGTTCTCTGAAGTGGAATTCTGATGATGTTGAGTACTCTCCTGAGCTTAATTATTTGAATGACCCTTATTGCAGAACAAAGTTCTAAACCTTCAAGGAGATACGTATTTCTGCCTGATGCGGAAATACAGTCCGTTCTTCACTTTCTTGTTTCTACCATTTTAAAAACCGGTTAGCCCTTTAGTTTTGTGAAAACATCATGCTTCTTCCCACTGCTGAGACTTTGCTCACACTGGTTTTTCTTCACTGCAAGCCCTTTTCCATAGAGCCTCGTCCAGTGGTGGTGAACTGTGCTGCACTGTGCTGCACATGTCCTGCAGTGGGCACACAGAGCCCTCTTTGTTGGCCTGGGAGCCAAATTTCCCCAGCAGCCAAGCATTGGATACAGTTGTTTTTTCTAGACTAAAAACTCTCAGATTTAATTCAGTGTTGGTTCTTTGCGATAAATGAGTTTTTGGTGCAGTTTGGGCACTTGGTTTATAAAATGTTTGCCATCACTGGCCCTAGTAGTTTTGTTCATTCCCTTTTCTTTTTCCTCATTTTCTCAGTGAAGATCCTTTTCTCACTGCAGTCAGATCTTTGTTATATAAGGTCATAGTGTCTTATACTTTGCTCTCATAGGAGTTTTCACAACTTTTTACATTTATTTTGGATTATTGGTTAATGTCTGTCTGCTATGCTACTGTGCTACAAGGTGACAGGATACAGTTCTTTTTCTGCTTGCCATTTGTATCCTTGGTACGTAATGTTATTCCAACACAGAATGAGTAGTTGACAGTTAAAAAAAAAAAAAAAAAGGTACAGTTGTCCAGAGTAAAAGCAGTTAGTTACGTATCATAGACAGATATCTATAAATCAAAATTATATTTAAAGGACAATATTGAGAGTCACTTGAACTTTAGAATTAGATATTACTATACCTTGGTTCATTAACCTGGTATTTTCATGTTTTTATGTGACTTATTTCTAAGATGAACCATTGACTTTTGAAAACTTCTGTTATTTAGTACAAGGAAGACCATTTGAAGTAAAGGAAATGTTTCTGGAAGATATTTTAAGAAGTACTGGATATACAAACAAAGAAATGTTAAAGTATAAAAAAGAAAAACAACGAGGTAAGTTTTTTAATTGAAGAAATAAAAAAGAAATAACTATTAAAAATGTCTTTTTGAAGTACTTCAGCTTTATATTATGGAAGTACAAAGACACTTAAAAGTATCTCTTGCATATAATTGTATGAAATTATGTTCACATATTGCCCCACATGTATCTCTTGATTTATATTTAGATATTGTAATCTGTGAAGAATTGAAAGTGACTACCAGAATTGATGGAGCTGAGTGTGTCTGTATCCAAAGTATCAACTTATGGAAACAAAAGAGTATATATTGGTTGCCCATAGCATGTCTCATAGATGGGAGGAAGAAGTGGATGAGAGGGAGGAAAGAGAATATCATCTGAGCAATAAGCTTATCTTATGTAAAAATCTCCAAGTTTCCAAATCTTGATATTATTATGGAGTTGGATCTGTGCTTTGAATTTAACATTATTTGCCCTTTTATATTATACCATATTATAGCTTTTGAATTAAGATTTAGATTCCTTTCTTTACTTTTAGCTATGTTATTCATGATGATAGACCTGCTTTCGAACTTTGACTTCTTTGTTTATTCTTTATGACCTTGGACAAATTTCTTAACTCTTTAGGATTATCCTCTTGAAAAATATTATTAGTAATGCCTATTTCACTGGGCAGTGCTGAATCACTTATATCTAAGTTGTGAAACTAGTAGGTCTTGAAGCTTTTGAGACTTAGGAATTATATCTAAAATCTCAAACAGTGGGCAGGGTGATAGAAGTTTAATAAATGATTTTCTGCAAAGTGCTATATAGATGTTAGTTAGATTGAAACATTAAGTCTAATATAGATAAAAATATTCTCAATTCTGGACTTACCTAAACATAAACTTCTTACCACTAGACAAATAGATGTTTTTAAGTAGTTTCATGTGTCTTTATCATACCATGTTTTATTAAATATTCTTAATATTTTTAAAAGGTAACTGCAGAATAAAGCCAGTTTTTATGTGATACCAGATTCACTTAATTTTTTAAAAAAGGAATACATTTTTAAAGGAATTATCTACTTGTTTTTCTTCGATAATTTAGAAGAAAAACAGCAAACCACGCTTACAGAATGGTACTCAGCTCAAGAGAATACTTTCAAGCCTGAATCTCAGAGACAGAGAACTGTTCCAAATGTGACTGAAGAGTATGATTTATTGGATGATGGGGGTGATGCTGTCTTTAGCCAGCTGGTAAGATCTTATTGGTTTCACAATGATATTTCTAGTAAAAATTATATAGGTTAACTTAGAACCACTTTTTCTTTACTTGTTTCTCAGGTTGTTTTTTTGTTTTTTTCATGCTGAGTATCAGACCCAGAGCCTTCCACGTGCTAAGCAGGCACTGTACAACTGAACTATATCCCTAACCCTAAACTTTCTTTTTAAAAAAATAATTTCCCTCTTTTGAATATGAGAAGTTACATACTACAGAAAGTCTTACAATTTTTTACTAATGTGTAAATTTTTTTCTAATGTTTAATATATCCATATGAACTCTACCTGAGTTTTTAAAAATACTTTTAAAGAATATTTTAGTCTAGAGAAGATCTGTTTGAGTCAGTGAACAGCATTTTCATCATATAAATTGATGAGTCTTAAGCTTTGGCTGCACATTGTTTTACCCAAGGGGCTTTTAAAGCCCTGTGGAATCAGGTCATTTGTCAGCAGGGATTCTGATGTATTTGATCTGGGACTTGGTGTAATGTTAAAAGAGCTCCCAGTAATGTCTTTTATGATTTGTAGCTGGAAAAGGGAACCACCGATATATAGGTATATTTAGTAATACCCTATCAATCAAAAACACAGTGTTGTGACTAGATCATAGTGTTTTGTTGACAAGATCATTCTTAGGTAAAAGATGAATATGAGAATGAAATACAGTATTGTAATGTTTGTAAGATGAAATGAGAAGCCTTTGCTATAATATCATATAATGCATTAATATATTATGTGGGGTTAGTAATTCTTATGGCCAGTATGACCATTTTTATATTCTTTGCAAGCAAAAGTTAAACTGTTCAATAATTCATAATTTTTCCTTTTTTTTTTTGAAGTCAGAGAAAGATGTGAATTGTCTTGAGCCATGGCTAATAAAGGAAATGGATACTTGTCTTTCGGACATATGGCTGCATAAAGATGTTGATGCCTTTGCTCAGGTCTTTCATCTTATTTTAACTGAAAATGTTAGTGGTATGTTCTTTTGAATTTTTAAATTACTCTTCTACAATTACTTATAATAGAAGTATAGTTGAATTGAAAGTATATGCTTTATGTTTTTTGTTCATAGCCAGTAATTTATTGTTTTGGAGTACTTTAATTCAAATGTACAAGTGTTATGGCTTGTACCTAGATGTCTTCCCAAAGCCTTAGGCATTCATAGGTGGTGGGAATTTTCTGAAGTGGCTGGATATAGGGTGTGTAATACTGGGACTAAGAGTGAGTGATAGCTAAGCTGATTTAGTATAGTTCTTGCTCTGGATAATGGAAGCCTTACTCTTCATTGGTGTGTGTGGCACCAATCAATAGGCTTATAGCCTGTGTGGAATATAAAGGGAGAGAGGAAAGGCTTGCTACTGCTGCTTTCTGCCTGATACATCATGAATGGTTCTTCTCTGTGATGCTTCTCTGCCATGCCATTCTGCCCTGGAGCCAGCTGAAACCTCTACATATTGTGAGCTGGAATAAACCTTTCCTCCTTCAATTTGTGGGTATCAAGTATTTTGTCCCAGCAGTGAAAAGTAACTAAGACAACAAATAACTATGTTTCTAGCATATCATAGTAAAATCATTAGGTATTACATTAATTTAGGGATTCTTGACCTAGGTGTGTATATACATGACAATTATATACAAAGATACTTTTATATATGTATATGTTCTACACATACGTATACTTTCATCTCCATACCTTATTACCCCCTGGGAAATAATTTCTGATGGCCTCAAAGAGATTTGTCATTTCAACAAAAGGAAGAAAAAAAATGGGTAATCAGTTTTGCTTTAGGTTATTAATTTAGAAAGTGAAAACATTTAGTATACCTTTAGTTATATGAGCTGAAGTTCTGATTCACAAGTACCTATTTTATGTCATGTTATGTTTTCACTAATAAGTTATCCTCCTTTTAGTAGTTGAGTATGATGGACATTGGTAACCAGAGCAGATTTGAGAACTCTAGACTTCTGGCAAAAGGCCGAGTGAGTAATCATAGAAAGTCTGTAGAGGAAAGGATTTAGAAGTTAAGTAGTACATCTCTTCACCTAAAACCCTTTAGCATTATTGTCATTATAATTATTATTGGTTTTCCTTTTGAAACATTTTCTTTAATCAATTTCTCATTTTCATACTTGGCTTCTTTTCGTTTCTCTGGCTGTAATTTCTTGGTTTTATTGATAAGATCTTTCTCTCTTTTTTTTTCCTGACCTCCAAAGATAAAATGTCCCAGGCCTCAATTCTTAGACCTTATTTCTGTTTACATTTACTATCTGCACGGATCTCATCTAGTTGTGGCTTTAAGTATTTTAAATGATCTCTCATTTTTCACTTCCAGTCTAACTTCCTCAGTGACTTTAGTACCCTTCATCACTTGCCATCTCCACCTAGATGTCTGTTAGGTATGTGAAAGTCTCTGTGTCTCAATCCTATCACCACTTTCTTTCCTCCCAGCCTGCCCTTTCCTTTGTATTTTCTTTTCAAAAAATGGGGATCTACTCACCTCTTTTTCTTAAGCCAGAAAGCATACTTAAAGTCATCATTAGCTTTGCTCTTGCTCTCTACTTTGGCAAATCCTACTAACTTTACCTTTTATAATAAATCCTAAATATGACCACATACTACATATCTGGAGTATTATAGTGCCTTGATAACTACTTCTGTTCTTAAGTTACTGCATTCTGTGCTCTGTAGAACAATGAGATTGATCATTTCAAAAATTCTACTGGACTGTTTTCAACTCTTCCATGCCTCTGACTACATTGTGAATAAAAATCAAGTCCTTTCCATAGTGGATCTTTTCCATGATGGGTCCTTTTTTTTAAATCTCAATTTCTATTCTGGTTATACCTGTCTTTTTGCTTTTTTTTCCATATATGTTGACATAGTCCCATTTTTCAGCCTTTGTTTTATTGTTTTTTATGCCTGGAATGGTATCTTTATAGACATTCAGGATACAGTTCACAGCCCCTTTCATTTAAGGCACTGCTTAGATACTGCCTTCTCAGAGAAGCCTTTTCTAATCACTAAAGTTACACCCTTTTCTCACTATTTCTCCTTACGTTGCTTTGTTCTTTATTGTGGTTTCATTACTTGACAGTATATATTTTTAATTTTTTATTCTCTGTCTCATCCACTATCATGTAAATTACATAAGGGCAGAAACCTTGTCCATTTTACTCATATTGGGGTCCCCACAGGTTTATAGTAGGTTTTTAAAAAATATTTATTCAATAACAATTTTATTTTAAGCAGCTTTACTAAACGATTATCCATTTGAACATTTTTAGTGATGGGAAGCTCACTAACTTTGTTAAAGGCTTTCTTTTAAATTTTGATTGTTTGAATTGCTAATTTATTAATATGATACAGCTTTTACCTTTTTCTGCTTCTGATGTGATAATGAATAGATTTACTGTGTATTTTTTCTTGACAAACTTTCAAGTGTATGAAGATAGTTATTTTTTGAGCTGTGTGTATTACTTTAACTGGTCTTATTTAACATGACTTAGTATATAGTCCTCTCCTGCCCTGTTCTGTCTTTCTTTGGGTATGTTTTGCCCAAACTGAGCTTCTACTCATGATCCTCCTGCCTCAGCCTCCCAGAGTACTAGGGTTACAGGCATGTGCTACCACATCTGACCCATTAATTCCTTATAAATTTCATTTTATAATTAGATTTGACCCATTTTTCCTTTTTAGAAGCTCTTTTTAAAAGTTTTGTTTTTAATATTAATACTTTAAATTTATACATTTATTAATCAATTGAATTATTTTTTAATTGATTTGCATGTTGAGAAGTAATTTTTTTGTTAGTGTATTCATTTCCAGTTTTCTTTATTTTGCCATTTAAGGATAAAATTTACTCAAATGAATTTAGTAATTTTTAAGAAATTTAATGTCTGAGACATATATCTTTAAAATATTTAAACATTTTAAGTATCTAAATATCTTTGGTTCTCCTTCTAGATATTACTTAATAGATTACTAAATAGTGGTCATCCTGGGACCTAGGCTTCTCCTATATATAGTTTATACATTTCCTTAAATCCATTGCTATAATGTCTACAGTCACATAAAATAAACCAAAAATGTTATTGTAGTTCTATGGTTTATGTACTTCTCATCTTTTGTTTCTAAAATCTCAACTCTTAATGGCCTGAGAGTTGGAAATACTTCATGTAATCTAAGAGACTGCAGTCTTTCTAGATTTCTTTGTTGGTGCTAACGTCTTCACGTGATCCTGTAGAAGCAGCTAATAGTAAGAGTAGGTATAGTCTGTTACTGCCTCACAAATGATTCCAAAACTTAACTCAGTTTCTCAGAGTTAAGAATGAAGAAGTGATTTAGGTGATTAAGCTGGCTTCTATTCTTTTATGAGATCCATTTAACATACTGATCGGGGCTGTAATCATCTGAAGGTTTGTTTTGGGTGGATGATCTGCTTTTGAGAAGGTTTATTCATGTGACTGGTGGCAAGAGGTTTTAGTTTGTTGCAGGCTATTGCCAGAAGGCCAGGTTCTTGCTGTCTGAGTCTTTCCATAGGGCTGTTTTATTACAGCATAATGTGGCACCTGGTTTCTCTGAGAGTGATAGCACAATTGCTGTCTGTGCTTTCAAAAATGAAAAGCAAACTACTGTAAAAAGTAAAAATACATGTCATTATATATTTGTCTAACTTCATAGACTGTGTCACACCAAGAGTGAACCCTAATGAAAACTGTGAAGGGGCGATTAGATGTCAGTCTAAGTTCATCACTTGTAACAAATGCAGCACTCTTGGCTAATAATAATAAGGGAGGCCATACATTATAGGGACAGGGTATATGGAATGTCTCTTTACATTCCTCTCAGTTTTGCATTGAATGTAAAAGTGCTGTAAAATAGTAAAGTCCCAAAAAACAAAAGCCCAAGGTAATTCTCTTATAAGTTCCCTCCTCACTTTTGAAACCACTGATTGATAATGATAGCAGATACATGTTTTAGAGTGTTATTAAATAATGAGGGTAAATAGGTATACTGTATATAGAAAACTAAATTTTTTCCTTTGTAATTACCTTAAATTTTACACTGAGTTTTTTTTTTTATTGATAAATTCTTTTTAAAATTGTCAGTTTTGTAATTTAAGCAAACTAGTGTTAAGCAATTATATATTAATTACTTGAGAAATACATTTTAGGAAGGATCGTTAATAGAATTTATCTTTCTGTGAAGGACTTCTATAAGAAGTAAACTTTCTGCTGATGTTTTCCTTGCTGTGCTTTAAAAATAGTTTGTCCCCACCAAAACTCATGTTGAGATTTCTTCCAAACTTATTTTCTTGAGAGGTGTTGGAACCTTTAAGAAGTGGTCGAGTCTGTAAGAGGGTTTATTCCTTTTCTATAAGGGATGAGTTGCTCTCACAATATAGAATTGGTTACTCCTAGAGTGTATTCTTGTAAAGGGAGGCTACCCCACAAGCTTGGCCCCTTTTGCATGTACCCATGTACCCTTCTCTGCCATGAATTGGACAGCATCAGGCTCTCTGAAGAAGCTGAGCACATGCTGGTGCCATGCTTTTGGACCTTAAGAACTGTGACCTAAGTAAACAGCTTTTCTTTATAAGTCTCCTAGTCTCCAGTTATAGTACCCAGTACAAAGCAAAAGAAAAACAGACTAAGACATACACATTAAGCATTTTGGAAGATAGCAGAATAGAATAATATAGAATTAAAAGAAATTTGTTGTGAAGTTTGCTCGAAATTTTTAAAGATTAATTATTGGTTACTAGTGAAAATGAACTTTTTCATATCATTTGGTGACTGAGGCAACATTTAGACTTAAGGAGATTTATAAGGGTTCTGAAACTTGATAGCTTTGCTATTTTAATTGCATAGGTGAATTTTAAATAGTTTAACAGTCAGCTTTCTTTTTCCTTCCTTTCAACTTACAGTGTCTGTTTGGTCCTGTTTATACAAGGACATATCAATGACTGTTTTCCTTGGATAATATAATTTAAGGGTTATATAATGTTCGTATGTGAAGTGAAGGAGCAAGTCCCAGGTTAATTGGACAGCCGCTTCTGCCATTTAAATTTTATTAAAAAATAGTTTTAAATAATTTGGAAGTTTTAACAGTTTTATTTTTTCTTCTTTTAGTTGATTACAGACATAGTGAAACCAGTGCAACAGCTCTGATGGTTGCTGCAGGACGAGGCTTTGCAAGTCAAGTAGAGCAGTTAATTAGTATGGGAGCCAATGTCCATAGTAAAGCATCAAATGGCTGGTAATTTTAGACTGCATCCATTTTTTGTATATCTTTACATATCTTTTTTTGAATTCTTACATTTGCCTTTATATTAAAAGCCATTATGTAATAATTGCTGGTGGATCTCTAATGGGTAAATAATTTTGAGTGGCTAGTTTTATAATTTTGAGAGCAAATTATTTTTATCTTAGTCTGTTATCTTTGAATTTTGGCAGGATGGCCTTAGATTGGGCTAAACACTTTGGGCAGACTGAAATTGTGGATCTTCTAGAGTCTTACAGGTAAAGCTTTAGTATTTTAAATTAATGTTCTTTTTTTTAAAGTGTGGCTATATAAATCATGGAATATATAAAATTAGGTTATTTATAGTCTTTTGTCCAAAGATTTTTATTTTTGTAATTAGAAGAAAACTTTCTTTCTGATTTTTTTGGATGAAAATCTGTTGTTTTAATGTTTATCTTATTTTTTATTTTGAAAAATCAAAAGAGGGATTTGCAGTTAAACATAGTAGGGTCAACATGTGTATTTATCTCTGCATTTCCTCAAAATCTCACTAAATGATGATAAAGGAATATGAAAGGTGTAGACTAACAACACCAAAGAGAATGAAAGAGAACACAGTAACTGATGGAAGATGTTAATACATGGAAGATGGATAACAGGCAGCTGATTAATAAGTGGAAATAGACTTAGCAGAACAAAGAAAACAGTTCTAATGAGAAGCAAGCACACCTTAGCTTTAGAACTCTTTGGTTTTCATTCAGTTGCCTTTATATGAAGCAATGAAGGAAGTGCTAAAAGCCAAAACCAAAAATCCAGAAAAGAGATGTGACATGGATTAAGAGCCTCGCATCACTTTCTTCCCTGCCATCAGATGATATCCCTTTCCCATCTTGGTAGGAAATAGGAAATTTATTTTAAAACTTGAGCCACAGAGGCTTTTGATTTTAGGATTATTAAGAAAAATAGCTGTGCAGGCTTTGAATTTGGGTTTACTACCTACAGTGGGAAAGTAGGGATGAGTTTATCAAATAACAAAGAGTGAAAATCTATAGACTGAGAGTTGAAATACCATCCGCTTCTTTCTGATGTGATCTACTGTCACCTTTTTCTGTTTGAAGTTTATGTTCTCAGCAGAAAACTTGGTAATTCTTTCCTGGAAAAATAGACCAAATTCTAGAGAAAATGTTTGGACTTATAGGAGGCTAGTTTTTTTTGAGACAGGGTCTTGCTATGCAGTTCAGGCTGGCCTTGAACCCACTGCGGAGCCCAGGCCGGCATCAAACTCATGGTGATCTGCCTGACCCAGCCTCCTGAGTGCTGGGATTACAGATGTGCACCACCACGCCCGGCTCCTTCAATGAAATGATCTTTAAACCAGATCACTTAACGGTCCCCAACTGCGTACTCAGGGTTTTGATACTTTCCTCTTTAAAAGGGAAGAACCGTCAAGAGTTGACCGTTAGACATTTGAGGAAGAGTTGCACCCATAAGTCCAATAAGCAAAACAGAGTGGCAGCAGAAAACTCTGGAACTTGGATGAAACTAAGCATCTTGGTTAGAAGAAACTTGGCCCATAAAAAGGTGCAGGCCAAAAATCTTCATTCAGATTTCATCTTCATGAGGCCTACTCTTATTTACCCAATTTCGTTTTGCACTCTACCTCTCTGCATTGTCCTTAACCTGTTCTATGTTTTCTTTTTTCTTTAGCCTATAGAATGTGCCACTCTCAATATACTGTGTACTTCACTGCTTTACTGTTTTTCTTCCTTCTCTCCAAGTAACTCTCCAAGTTACTGTTTTTCTTTTTTCTTTCTTCTTAGTACACTGCTTGTGTCTTTTGTTCAAGAAAAGTGCCTGGTTATAATAGATGATTAGTGAATATTTATTGTATGACTAAGTAAAAATATAGTGTACAATTTCAGAGTGTTTCTGATATAAAGTTGAGAAAATTGTCTACAAAGTACGAAAAATAGACGAGATGGAAAATTGTAGAAAAAACATTTAAAAAAAACCTTAATTTCTATGTACCTTTTATTAGGAAACTTTTAGAGAAAGTGTTTCACAAAAAATAAGTACAACAAACAGAAAACCCAAGAAAAAAATAGTATATCTAGTACAAGGATTAGGTGAAAGGAATGCTCTGAATACTGGTACAAAAGGAGCGTTAGGATGACAGCTGTCTAGCAGACCCATCCAGTCCCATAGGAACAGAAAAGATGGAGAGTTCAAGAGGGAAGTTTTTGAGAGGAAAAAATAATTACCTAATATTTTTAAGTGTATTAAAAAGCTTTTCAAGTATTTTGGTATGTTTCAGAAGAATTAGTAATAAATTCACAGAAAACTAAGTAAATAAAAATTAAATAATATTTACTCTTGGTGGGGAACTGAAGAAAGGAGATATAATCATAGTTCACAGTTTGGCTCAGCAGTATATAAAGTTTACAAGATCATAGTAAACTAAAAACTGAGTGAAGATTTTTTATTGTGGGATTTGGAGTGGGAGGGATGTTTATGGAAGTAGAGATGGTAACCTCATTTTTCCTTAGTTGGAGGTTCACAGATAATGACTAAATTTTTATTAAATAGCAGAAGATAAACATTGTTTAGAAATAATAGCAGTTAGTAAAAAAAAAAGCTTTAATTGCAAAAGATCCTAAGTAATGCGATTATAGGTTTTTGTTATAATGTTTATAAAATTATTTATTAGTGCTATAAATATGTTAATTTTACTTTTAAAATTTTTAAAATTAATATATGTTTGCAGTACATAATGATTACATTTATAATGGGGAGTTTGTACGTGTACATAATACATCTTAATTCTTTCTTGTCCCCTTTCCCTCTTACCCCTCCCTGCTCTCTCCAACTTTTGATCCCATTCCCATTTGAAAAAAGCTCTACATCCATTTTTTTTCTTCAATTCTCTCTTATTTTAAAAAGGGAAAAATCAGAAGGGCACTCTAGGTGCTTTGGGTATCTTATGAAGCTGATCTAATTATCTTTCTTTTTAAAGTGATGCTAGTGATTGAACCCAGGAACCCAAAACCTTGTTTGTGTATGTTTGGCAGGCAATCTACCACTGAGCTGCATCCTTTGCCCCTAATTATCTTTTACTAGAGACTTTAGATAAGTATAGATTATTTAGATTAGTTAGATAGATTTTTTAAAATATGTAAAAGAAGCTTTAATATATTTTGTAATACATTGATGGCTTCTATTTGTTGTCAACCTCTGAGAGTTCCCCCAAAAATAGATTCTGAAGTTAATATAGTAAATCATCTACTGCTCAAGAACATATAAAATGTGTTATTTGAGCTGAGATTTTGTATTTCTATAGATGTAGTCTCAGACATTGTAAGAAGTCAATGTTTATGAAATTATGTCATTTTGATTTCATTGATACTTTAGGTTAGAGAGTCTCAGAATTCTTAGTATATGCAAATGCTAATCCTGATACCGTTTTTTTTTGTTGTTGTTATTTTAATAATAGTACCCAAAATTAGCAATCTTTTAGCGATAACACTGTAAATGTTCCAATCATTATTCTGGTATTGCTGAGTATAGATACTATAGATTACCAAGTTAAACAGTTATCTTGGTAATACTTAGCCAGCGATGCTTTTTATTGCAAATTTCAAATATTTTTATTTTAATATTTTGCAGTACTGGGGATTGCATTGAGCTACATCAGCAGCCCTTTATTTTATTTAGAGACATGGTTTTGCTAAATTGCTTAAGTGGCCCTTTGTGGTCTTCCTGCTTCAACCTCCCAACCTCCCATGCATCACCATGCCCAGAAAATTTCAAATATTTAGAATTAAATTTATTATTGTGTTTGCTGGGTTGTTGATAGTGATTGTTGATAGTGATAACTCAGTTTTATAGTTTTATTCAAAGAATATATATCTTTACTTACCTGTTTAAAAGTAAAAAACAATAAATTTAGAATATTTTGCAATCGATCTTGATATTCAAAATCTTGATATCTTGTTATTACAAAGATATATAATCTTAATATTTTTCCTATTGAAAACAGTCTTGTTATTTTCTGCTAAGCTTTTTGAGAGAGATTGGGCTGAACTGAACTTTTTGGAAATCCTATTGATAATTATTAGTGATGGTAGTAGTTTACGTTTTTATAACAGGATGAAGAAAAGTAGTAGTTTATGCTGATTCTGGGCTTTTGGAAAATGGCACAACTAACCTGCTTTTACTATAGAATTATCTGCGGAGGTTTTTTTATTGTGGACTATTTATCAAAATATTATTTGTAATATTGAACAATTAGAAACAACCTGTTAAGAAAATATAAGTGAAGCCAGGCATGGGGGCACATGTCTGTAATCCCAGCACTCAGGAGTCTGAGACAGGAGGATCACCTCGAGTTTGAGATCAGCCTGAGCTGCATAGTGAGTTCAAGGACAGCCTGAAGTACATAGTGAGACTCGGTCCAAAACAAAATTTATACATATGTGTATGTATATATATACATGATAACCAATCATTTTTAATTTTTTTAAGGTAATTCATATACCATATAATTCACTTATGTAAATGTACAATTCATTTAATTTTTTTTTTTTTTTGTATGTTCATAAACTTATACTCTTTACCACAGTCAGTTTTAGGATATTTTCATCACCACAGAAAGAAACTTGTACCCAGTAGCAGTCACACCTTTTTTTCCCATTGACCTCACAGCCCTAGGTCAACCAGTAATCTACTTCCTGTTTCTAGAAATTTGTCCATTCTAGACATCATATAAATGGAATTATACAATATATGGTACTTTATAATTGGCTTCTTTCACTTAGCATAATGTTTTTAAGGTTTATTCATGTAGCTTTTCTTATGACTAGATTATCATTCTATGGATATAGAATCATTTATCCATTTGTCAATGAACATTTGTATTGTTTCCAGTTTCTATTATGAACAATTCTGATATGAACATTTGTATATGGTTTTTTTCTTAATTGATAGATATATGTAGATACATTTTCTTCCATTTCTCTTGTGTATAGATGTAGAAGCAAAGTTGCTAAGGCATATAGCAACTCTTATGTTTAACCTTTGAAGAAATGCTACAGTGTTTTCCAGAGTGGCTGCACTATTCTACATTCCTACAACGAATGTGGGAGGGTTCTAATCTCTCCACGTGCTCTCTAACACCTGCCACTTGTCTTTCTGATTGTGTCCATCTTACTGGATGAGCATCAGACTGTGGTTTTCATTTGTATTTTCCTGATGATCAATGAAGTTGAACATCTTTTCATATGCTTACACCATTTGTGTACTTCCTTTTGAGAAATGTCTTCAGTTTGTGATTTTCTAAAAGCACTTATTACCAATTTTTTTGTTGAATAAGGTGCTTAAAACCAAAGCATGAATTAAACTAAAGCATGAATTATAATCAGATTATATTATATTGTCACTTACCTTCCTTAGGGCATATTAGAAATTGGAAGAAGGGCATAGTGGGAATTATTGGTCTTTAAGAGTTACTCTTTTTAATGAAAACTGACTTGATCTTTTTTTTTTTTTTAAAGTGCTTCATTGGAATTTGGAAATCTAGATGAAAGTTCTCTGGTTCAAACAAATGGAAATGACCTCAGTGCAGAAGATAGAGAGCTCCTAAAAGCTTATCATCATAGTTTTGATGATGAAAAAGTAGATTTGGATTTGATCATGCATCTTCTGTACAATATCTGCCATAGCTGTGATACTGGTAAATAAATACCATCTAAAAGAACTGCAGCAAAATGTATACTTTGCTTTAAAAATTATTATTTTAATTATCCACATTCCTATGTAATTGCATTGGTAGTAATGCATGAATGAATCATGGTAATTTACAAGTACTTGAAACACATGTATAGTTCCTTATAATTGGTTCTTTTGATTGCCTCTGATTTCACAAGATTTAATATTAAAAAATTCTTCTCTAAGGTGCAGTATTAATTTTTCTACCTGGATATGATGAAATCGTTGGTCTGAGAGATCGCATCCTGTTTGATGACAAGCGGTTTGCTGACAATGCACATAGGTAAAATCTAAAGTTTTATATTTGTTGCTTAAAAGAACAGACAGGCACGACAGTATATTTCTCTTTCAATTGTCAACAGATATCAGGTCTTTATGCTTCACTCAAATATGCAAACGTCTGATCAAAAGAAAGTATTAAAAACTCCACCTGCAGGTGTTCGTAAAATAGTAAGCTTCATAAAATTTTTTCCCCATTATTATTAGTCATTGTTCTTCTTTCATATTACTTATAAAATAATACTTTGTTGCAGATTCTTTCCACAAATATTGCTGAAACCAGCATAACAGTCAATGATGTTGTCTTTGTTATTGATTCTGGAAAAGTAAAAGAGGTATGTATAAGTTGTATTTTTACTTAAAAGAAGAAGGTTGAATTCTCTTCCAACAAGTGCTTTTTCTAAACAGAATTCACTTTAGTGGAAAAACTTATTCTAGATGAATTTAGCGTAGTAAATACTGATTTCATGCAAATATTCTACCTTAAATTCAGTATATAGAATATATTTTATTTTAGCAAATTAGAAAAAAGTTAACTTCTATCATTAAAAACTAGAAAGAAAGAAAAGACTTGGTTACTTTTTTTTTTTCTTTTTTGAGAGAGGGTCTCACTATGCAGTTCAGGCTGGTCTTCAACTCACTTTGCAGCCCAGGCTGGCCTCAAACTTGCAACGATCCTCCTGTGTCAGCTCCCAAGTGCTGGAATTACAGGCATGCACCTGCACGCCCGGCTCAAGGCTTGGTTACTTATAGTGAAAATGTCATCACAGTATGAATTCAGTTGTACATTTTCTGTGTTTTTCTCCTAGCTCTGGGCATAGACCAGGTCCCTCATGTTTATTGTTAAGATTTTCAGTTCGTAATAGTAAGTGTAGTTCAAGAGAGCTTTGATGAAAAGAATAAGAAAACTCCAAACAATCAACCAACCAGCCCCCAAACCCTCTTAAACCAGTGGTCAACAAGCAATAGCCAGCATTCAATCTAGACTTGCTACCTGCTTTTGTAAAAATAGGATCATCACTTTTACCTAGTGTGTATAGATGCTTTCACACTGTGTTGGTATCTAAATAATGACCTAAATAGACCTTATCAAAGGCTAAAGTATTTATAACTTGGCCCTTTGCAAAAATAGTTTTCCAACACCTGATATAAATAAAAGGGAATAATTATTTCCTTTCAGTATAGAAATGCCTAGCAATTCTCAGTGCCCCTTTTAATAGAGCCATTCATTGAAAGAATGAAAATGATAGAAGTAATTGATTTGTCAAGGAAAGCAATATTATTTCTTTTGTAGAAAGCAAGTTATGTTTCTTTAGTGGATATAAGTGATCATTTTTAATGTGAAGAAATTAATATTTTAAATGTAGTTTTGAGGAATGTCTTATGGAGAGTAACATTTTATTAAAGAACTTGGTCAGATTTATTACAGTTGGATACTGCAGTGAAAGGATAAAGTTTATTTTTTGTAATAGAACAATAGTGAATATTTTCAATAAAACTGAAGTGATCTAATATCAGATTTTACTGCTCTAGAGTTATGTAATGTAGGTGGAAGTAGGTTTTAGATATTTTATCTTTTTTTTTCTTTTTTGGGTACCAGGAATTGAACTCATGACCTCAGGTTTGCCAAGCAAGCACTTATGCCCCTGAGCTATATCCCTGGCCCGGTTTGAATATTTTAGAAATTCCTCTAATTGGGTAATTTGTAAATTGTAAATTTATTTTTTAAATAAATTATAGTTTAAACATACAGGTACTATCAAGTTATTTTATACACATAATTGACAAATGAAATACTTTCATTAAAAATTGAGTTACATTTTCTTTTTTTTTTTGTGGTACTAGGAATCAAACTCAGGACCTTGTGCTTGCCAGGCAGGTACTTGTGCCACTGAGTTATATCCCTGGCCTTGAGTAACATTTTCTAAAAATTCTGTAATTAAACTATTATGAGAACCTATTTTTATTTGCTGTATGTAGTTATTTTAATTAATTAAATTTGTGGCACCATGACTTGAACCCAGGACCTGCTCACAGAGCCACATCTGTATGCTTTTATCTTTTACTTTTAAATTATTATTATTGTGGTTTTTTGAGACAGAGTCTTGCTGTGTAGTTTAGGCTGGTCTGGAATTTGTGGCACCCCTCCTGCCTCAACCTTCCATGTGCTGGGATTACAGGCATGCATTACTATGCTTGGCTTTTATTTTTTATTTTGAGACAGGGTCTTACTAAATTACTAAACTGCCCAGACTGGGCTTGAATTTGTGATTCTCCTGCCTCCATCTCCCAGAGCACTGGGATTACAGACATGTGCCACCACACCCAGCCCATGTAGTTATTTTACGCAAAGGAAAACATGTCTGTCAATAACTGAGGTATATATTCTAGTTAGGGATGTATTCTTTTAAAATATTTCTCTGCAGATTTTCACTTTAGTTTCTTTGAGGTTAGTAATGATTTTCTCATATATTTTCCTTTGCAACATCCAAAATAGGCTTTTTAAGTATCTCAGCAGGAAGTAAAGTAAGAGTTAAAAATTCTTGGCTATGGGATAAGATTAGTTTAATTATTGTTATTTTTCCGGATCAGCTCCCTGGAAAAAAATATTTCAGAAAATGTTTTTCCCTGATCACTCAGTGTTTATAACAGTGAAAATGTGATAGAAAATGCCCTCCAGAGAATAGATCAGTTTTCCCAGTCTTCATTTCTCATGAGAACCTACTGCCATGAATAGCAGATAGCTCAGCAAAGCATTGAAGAGGGTAATTTTATGGCTTCTCTGAGTTTAATTTTGTTTTCATTCTTTTCTCCTTAGTGTTTTTAACTAGAGTATCTGGATTTTTCAGAGTCAATACTTTGTTCCAATTATTTAATCAAGATAGTACTTTAAACTGGGTGTGTAAAATATGTTGATAATGTTTCCAGCTGTTTTCTCTTAAGTACCTTCTATGTTTTAACATAAAGATGATTTAAATATTACAGAAATCCTTTGATGCTTTGAATTTTGTTACCATGTTAAAAATGGTCTGGATTTCAAAAGCTAGTGCCATACAACGAAAAGGCAGGTAATGTATGTTTAATGTACATTCATTCAATTGTGTGTCAAATGGAATCATTTTTATGTATATTACATATTTATCCTATATCCCACCTTCTGTGACATGTTAATTTTCAAGTTAATGTTGAATCTTTGTGAAGCTAACCATTTTAATGCTTTTTTAAGAGCTGAATTTAAGTTATATTGAAATTTAGGACTGTGGTATAGTGCACCCTGAGATATAAGATGCTAAATAAACAAAAGCAAAAATTCTATAAATATTTACAATACAGGAGAAAGGGCTAATTTCCTTATTATAAAAAAAAAGCTCTTTAAGAAAATTGCTGGGCATAGTGCCACATGCCTTTAATCCCCAGCCCTGAAAGACTGAGGCAAGAGGATTGCCACAAGTTTGAGGCCAGCCTGGGCTACATAGTGAATTCAGGGGCAACCTGAACAATACAGTGAGACCTTGTTTCAAAACCTGCCACCCCCCAAAAAAGAAAAGAAAAGAAAATCAACAGCTAATTATAATGTATATAGAACAAAACAGTTGGTTTATCAAAATAAAGAATATGCATGCCCCATTAATAAACAGGTGGCCTATATGCCCTCATATGTACCACCACATATATACCAAAATAAGAACAAATTAAGGGAGGACTATTTTTTATCAGATTGAGTTTGATAAAAATGTTTTACATTATGTACAATATAATGGCAAAAATATAGGCCAGGAGACTTCCTTTATATATTAATGAGAATATAGATTGTTATGCCTTCTTCAGAGGGTGAATTAAAACTATCCAAATACAGCCTTAGATCATTTATTTCACATTTCATAATTTATCCTGATTATACTTTTACATATATGGAAAGGTGTAAGTTGAAGACTGTACTTTACAGTGTCGTATATAATAATACAAATTTTAGGAGCAATATAGTGTCTATTAGGAAATGATTATGTTAATAACTACACAATAGCTTATTAGGTATCTGTTAAAAGGAGGAATTTTTTTTTTTTTTGGTTTTTCTCCGGTACCGGGAACCGAACTCACGACCTTGCGCTTGCCAGGCAGGCGCTTTTGCCGCTGAGCTAAATCCCCAGCCCCAAAAGGAGGAATGTTTATCCCTATATTCTCATGTGGAAAGAATTTTCAAATATTTACAGAAGTATATATAGACACATCTATGAAGAATCTGGGAGAAACATTAAAAACCATAGTGTATTGATTCTGAAAAGGAGGATCTGTGGGGCCCTTGGAGAAAGGAGACTTAATTTTCATTTTATATCCAAATAATATATATGTCTATATATTATATATATGTGTGTGTGTGAGTGTGTTATTTATTTTACTGTGTACTTGGATTACTTTTTTGTTTCTTAAAAATTTTATTCATTTGTGGGGTTGGGGATCATACCCAGGGTCTTCTGTATGCAAGGCAAGCACTTTATACTCCAGCCCATTTTTTCATTTTTAAAAAGGCAAGATTAAAAGACATATTTTTCAATAATTGTGTATAATTACTGTTGCAATTCAACTGACCAGAAAACATGAAATGCTGACTTTGAAAAGAATGCTTCAGAAGTGTGCGTGGTGGCAGATCCCTGCAATCCTAGCAGGGGGTGGGCTGAGGCAGGAAGATTGCTGGGATTTCAGGGCCCACCTGAGCTATACAGTGAGACCCTGTCTCAAAAACAAAAACAAAACAACAGGAACCCCCAAAAGAATATCTCATATACTGAAGACTTATGAGTATTTTTTCTGTGTGACTTTATAGAATGCCCATGAAGTGTTTGTTATTATCTTGTTATTAGTCAGTTGTTCTTGTATGACAAAATGTGACTTGAAACATTGAGGTGGGTTAGGTACTGTTAGTACTGTGTTATCTAAAATGAGGGTCAGAAATTACAGAAATTTTCATTGTCATTTTTTCGACAAATTTTTATTGAAATCTTTAACTGTGCAAGTGGTAGGAATACAGTGGTGAATAAACTATAGACTGCTGGGTGAAGTTTAGTGACTGCACTTCAGGATATACTATATTAAGCAATTTTAACACTGTATGATCTGCCCCAGAACTTGTAATATTTCTAGGGGAGCTAAAGTTGAATCTGAGACAAATACAGAAGAGCTGAGAAAAGGCATTTCTAAAGGGCAGAGGGAAAGAGTAAGATCAATAGAAAAGAAAGAGCAGGCAAGTTGTTTGGGTAGAATTTAGTTTAGAAGAGAATAGTAAAAAACAGGCTGAAAGTTGGGGATAAGTCCTTAAGGACCATTTTACCTTTCTTTCTCCTTTAAAAAGGTAAATGAAGAATAACATAATTATAGGATTGTTTCAGCTCTTTGGAGAATGGATTGTCAGGGACCAAAAATGATGACCAGGTCACTCTCTTATAACTTTCAGGTATTTGGAGATGAAGATGAAGGTAGCCTGTATTGATGTAGTGGTGGTAGAAATAAAAGAAGTAAACAGTTAATTAAAGAGAGCAATGTTGTATGCCTGGGGGAAGAGAGGTGAGGAAAAAAGTAGAATCAAGGATATTATCCCAGTTTTTATCTCAGAAAATTAAATGGTTGGTGCTGTTGTCAGGTAGGGAAGATGGAAAGAGCATTTATTTGGGAAGAAAAATCAACTTTTGGTTGTGTTGAATTTGAATTGTAATACTTTTGATAATAAAATTCTTAACCATAAATAAAAAGAATTTGAATTGGCTGAAAAATTCAAGTGGAGTTGTCCAAGAGACTTGCAAGGTATAGGTCTATAATTAGGATAAAGAGGTCTAGGATGGATGGCAGTCAAAGTGAGGAGCATAATTAAGATCACCTCAGGAGAGATGGTAGTATGAGAACAGAGGGAGAAGGCCCATCTTCTGCGAAACATCAATTTTTAAGGTCTAAGAAGAGACCTTAGAGAAAGTTAGGTATGTAGGAAACCTGAAAGGTATATTGTAGGGAGTATTTGATGAAGAAATGCGTGTCCAACAATGTAGAAGTGGATACTTCCATATTGCTATGATTTAACATATTTAGTCCTGATATTAGCTGACATAGTGACTGGATGTGTTTTAAAAGAGACTGCCTTCATGATATTTCTCTGTTGTTTCATAGGAAGTTACACAGGACTCTATGTGAGATAAATTTTAATACCATGAAGATGTGTAGTGTGCCAGGCATGATGATGCATGCCTGTAATCCCAGCAGTAGGGAGGCTGAAGCAGGAGGATTGTTGCTAATTCGAGACCAGCCTGGGCTACAAAGTGAGCTCAAGTCCAGCCTGAACCTCATAGCGAGACCCTGTCTCAAAAAGACCAAAAGAAAAAAAAAGATGTGTAATGCATAATTTTTGCAACTCTAATCAATGGTAGTAGCTTGAACACAATGCTTGATAATAGCTTGGCAAAATTCATTGAATTTAGATTAGTCAGTATTTATTCATGCTTTGCTCTTTACTTGATCTCAAATGTGTATTTCTTTTGATTTTTACCATATCCCTAACAGGTGAGTGTTATTTGTGAATCTCTGTAAGTAAAAGGAGCCCCAGACAATTGAAGTATTTTCTAAACAGATTCTTGGGAAATAAGGATTCAAGCTCAGATGTCTTCATGTTTTTCTCTCTCTCAAATCACATTACTTTTACAGTTTATTATAGTGTTCATTTTTTGTTTGAGTATTAATTTTGTATTTTGTTTTTAAGAGCGGGGCGATGTAAACCTGGAATTTGTTTCCGTCTGTTTAGCAGACTCCGATTTCAAAACATGTTGGAATTTCAGACTCCGGAACTTTTGAGAATGCCGTTACAGGTAGAAATTTAATACTAAAATACTTTCTAGTGGATAAGGAGATGGAGGGGCCATTTTAACTTCTACTACTTGGACTTGCAAAGCAATCCATTTATAAAACGATTGCATATTATAGATAGTGGATACTGTATAATAAGATTTTTTTTTTCTGTATTAAAAAATTGTAAGACTTCAAAATTTTAAAGAATTAACTGAATTAAATTATAGGCCAGTTTATAAGGATATTGTTTTTATGTACTATTTTAAGAGTTTCAGCTACATAGTATTCATTCTAAAAATTCTCAATAGAATTAGAAAATACATTATTTAAGGTCTAAAAGATAATACTGATATCTCAGGTGCTGAGGTTAGCTTGATAACTTAGGAATGGATTCAGTAGGATTTCTTGACCTTTATTGTTTTTCTTTAGGTTTTAGAACTTCATGAAATAATCATATACCCTGTGTAGTTTCTAGGGAAAACTACCAGATATGTGTTAATTTGATTCTTTAGTGTATTAGTTTAGATGCTGGCTTCTAAATTATTAAAGAAATGCAGGATCATGTTTTTGGCATCTGTACAGCTCAAGTGATTTGCCATCTCCCAATGCCTATGTCTTCCTCCTGGTGTTGGACATATATTTCCCAGTGTTGCAAACAGGATAAAAGCACCCAGACTTGTAAAAAATTTTTTGGCAAGGCAAACTTCATTTCTGCAAAAGGCTGTGCTGCCAGACAAAGAGGTTGTCCCCCAGTTTATCCCTAACAGTTTTTCCCTAAAGGGTGATGTAGTTACTGTGCCCGTTCTGTTGGTGTGAGCATGGCTTTATAATCTTAACTCCATAGGCTAGTTTGATGAGGTCATGTTTGCTAGGCAGAACAGATTCTGTGACTCAGGAATCTGTTACACACAAAATTTTTGACTAGTGGACTGACACACAGCCCCTTGTCGTAAGTTGTCTCTCTGAGGAATGGGTGAAACAGGCACATGCACATTTTACAAGAATAAGATTTTACAGAAAAATAGAGATTTGTATAAAATGGAATTACCTTAAATATTCCTTTTGACAGAAAAAACCTTTCTCATACTGGAAAAAAACCTAAAATTCTTAGCAAGGGTCTAACTTACCTGTTTTTTCTGTGTTTCCAGTTTTATTTCTTACCTTTCCTCTACAAAGATTAATAATTTTAGCCTTCCAAACACATCTTATTTCCTTGTACTTTAGAATCTTAATGTTTGTTGTCCCCTTCCCTAAGTTCCTCTTGCTTCTTTCTTCTATGATACAATCCTGTTCTTTGATTATGTATTAAGTGTCATTTCCTTAGGGAAACTATCTTTGGTTTCCCACAGTCTCTGTCTTCTGCTTTCTCCTGAAATTCTTTATCTCTTTGGCTCCTGTATCCTTCATAACACTTACCAGAATTGTAATTAGGTAGTTAATTAAATATTTAAAGGTCTTTTCCACACTATAGTGTAAACTTCATGAGAGCAGACCCTTGTTCATTCTCTTTTTCTCCAACTTGCTGCATAGTGCCTTATACCCAGAAAGTACCTAAGCATTTGTTGAATGTGTAAAAATATTCCAAAATATAATAAGTATATAAGGGAGAAGATAATCTTTTTTCATAGTGATTCTGAGTGTTAACTGTACATGTAAGAACTCTGTAAGGAGATGTTGCCAGAGGTGACAGTGGTAATTTTGGTCTCAGTTGACTGAGGATATTAAAGTTGACACCCCGTAGCACAGTACAAGCCCATGTTTAGTAGAAAGATATTATTCCCTCTATTATGCATTCTAATTTGAGACTTTACAAGACTGTGTTTGGGAACTATTATGTCCATGATTTCTTTAAAAAAAAAATTTTTTTTTTTCTCCATTTTTGTGTTATTTCCTTTCACAAAAAGTTATTTACTGTTTTGACTTACAGGAACTTTGTTTACATACCAAACTGTTAGCTCCAATTAATTGTACCATTGCTGATTTCCTTATGAAAGCTCCTGAGCCTCCACCAGCTTTAATTGTAAGAAATGCTGTACAGATGCTTAAGGTTGGTGTCTTAATAGGTTTATTTTACTTGACTTTTTTTACTTGAAATTTAAACCAAATATATCTTAACTAATTTTGTGTTGTTGAAAACTATCTTAGATGATCATACGTTTTGAATAGTACTCTTATAATTAATAATAGATAAAACAGTAGTTATTTATACATGTGTATTTGAAGAAAAGTCTTTTTATGAGATACAGTATCAAAAGAAAATTTTTGTTTTTTGGTTAGTTAGTTGTTTGACGTAGGGTCTCTCTTTGTAGTTCAGGCTGGCCTTGAACTCACTATGTAACCCAAGCTAGCCTTGAACTCTTTGCGATCCTCCTGCCTCAGCCTCCTGAGTGCTGGGCTTACAAGCATGCACCATCATGCCTGGCTGAAAATTTGCATTATTTCTTCTGGGCTTTTAAAGTTAAACACAATTTTTTCATGTATAATTCTGTTCTCTATTCTTTGATTTAGACAATAGATGCAATGGATACATGGGAAGATCTCACTGAGCTTGGATATCATTTGGCTGACTTGCCAGTAGAACCACATCTTGGTAAAATGGTGCTATGTGCCGTTGTTTTAAAGTGTCTGGACCCCATCCTTACGATTGCCTGCACATTAGCTTACCGAGACCCTTTTGTACTGCCTACTCAGGCCTCTCAAAAACGTGCTGCTATGCTTTGTAGGAAACGTTTCACTGCAGGAACCTTCAGTGACCACATGGCACTTCTCAGAGCATTCCAGGTACCATTACTATCATTTGCTTCTGAAGATGTTGTGTTAAAAAGGTTTCTGGGGTAAGTGTAACAGTTTAAAATAATAGTAAGCAATAATAAAAATTTATTAATTTGTTTTATTTATGAAGTCACATTTTATTAACAGCCCAGAAAAATATCTTCTTGCTGTTAATATGTTAAAATTATCAGTTTTTCTCTACTTCGTTTTTTCCCTCATTTTCTTCATATAGGAATATGTGAATGTATGTATGTGTGTATATATACATATATTTAGCTTGGAAGAAAATTTTATTATATTTAATATCCATTTGTTAGATTTTTAAAAAGAGTACAACTTTTATGTTCAAGACACTATGTCAAGAACATAATTTTATGAAGCAAAAATCATTTATATATGTGTATTTGAAGAAAAGTCTTTTTATTAGACCAAATAAAACTTTTTAAGATAATGGAAATTGAGGAAAGAAAACATAAGGGAAGTGATCCTCTGAGAAAGAGAAATGAAATATAATTTAGAAATCCAGATATATGGAGAAGAATATCTTATTTCTTGAAAAGATAAACATCAATCATGAGCTCTTAAGTAAGTATTATTAACGGTGACTCATTGTTACTAGTTGAGTGTATTATATGGATATGTAGATGAGTTGAATGATAGAGGGAAATTTGGAGTAAAATCTCTGCATTTTGTTTTTTTACCTTGCTCCTACAAAAGCAGATAGGATAAATGATTGGTTTGGTCTTTCCGTTACATTCTAAAGGAAGAGAACTCGTTTTCAATGAATAGGTTTTCAATACTGTATGTAGAGTATTTCATTCTCAGTTTAAGGGGTTGATGTGCACATTAGTTTTGGAGAACGACAGAGTGGCAGAATTCTTAGATACAAAAGTGTTAGTGGTTTAGTTGAAAATCTTCCACAGTTTTGGGGAATAATGCTAACAAGTGCATCTGTGAAGGTAATTCTTATGTGTTGCTCATTTAGGTCACTTGATACTTAGTTCTTGTGGACAGTTTATAATTGGCTGTCATAGCAACTGTAGTAAAAATTAGCTAGTGATACATTTCATATTTTATAGGATAATTAAAATAAGAATTTGACTGGGATTAAGATAGTGGTTTTCAACTGCTTTGTTGCCTCACCAAGAAGTTATTGGTAAATGTGTCTTGTTTGTAATTACTCTGTTTTTATAGGCATGGCAGAAAGCACGAAGTGATGGGTGGGAGCGAGCCTTTTGTGAGAAGAATTTCCTTTCACAAGCTACCATGGAAATAATTATAGGCATGAGAACACAGTTGCTTGGTCAGCTTAGAGCATCAGGTAGAGTCTTCTTCCAAAAAAAAACATTTAAACTGACTTATTCATAACATTTCTAGCGCTATGATGTCATCTATTATTTTTATATATTATCATGTTTTGTATCTTATATTCCTGAACTGATTTGTGAATTTCTACATGATACTAACTTTTGCTTGTTGAAAAAAACGTACTGCAAAAAAATCATAGTTGAGAAATAAATGAGCAGAAGCTAAACCCTTTTTGATAGTGTTAGCAATGAAAAATTTGTATTTGCAAAGCAGTTTAGCTCTTGTAGATGTTATATTATGTTTTATCACCATTAATGAACAATTATTTTAGCTCTAGAAATTATAAAAATATAGATTGTTTAAATGCTGTTTTTTTATACTTTTGAAACACTAAAACTGGTAATCACTTGAAGGTATTTGTTTCCCTTTTTAAAAAAAAGTTAAAGGGGATTTAGTGTTGCTTTTTCCTTTTAAAATTCTTTGAAAATATTTTTTCTTTTCTCTTTCCTACCCGCTCTTTCAATCCTTTCTCCCTCCTGCTTTTTCCCCCCTTGTTCCTTTGCCCCTGGCCCCTTTCCCTTCCTCCTTTCCTCTATTTTTGGAGTATTGTAATACACTGAAGTGACAACTGTTATTGTCAAAAGTACCAGAGCCTGGATCTATGGAACAGCTAAAGTGTGAAAGTAGTATAAGGGGAGAACTAGAGTATTTACAATTGTCTCATATATGGGGAAATAAAAGTTTTTGAAATTCAAGCAGAATAAGATACACTATATTTACATGACTTCACCTTTAGACTGTCATAACCACAACATAATAGAAGAATGACTTGGATTTCCAGTTGTGAGCTTAGCATGTTTCTGATAGAAACTGATTTTAAGAATATGCATTTTTAAAAATTTCTAAGCTCCCAATAAATCTATCCTGGGCAGATCTGAAACTTTTCTTATTTTGGTTCTGTAGTTTAGACTTTCCAGTACAGATTCTATTGTAGAATTTGAATATCATTAAACTTACATGGGCCATACATATTTTTGTAAAAAATACACAAATTTTACAGTATCTTTTCCATAATATGAAAAGTATTTTTACCTCTCCAGTTTTTGTGTGTGTGCACATTTGTTCTACAGAACTTGGTTTTGTATTAGCATATTTATACATGCATATAACATACTTTGATCTTCCCCATCCCCTATTTCCCCCTCTTGCTTTTTTCTCCCCCTTACATTCTCTAGGTTTTGTTAGAGCTAGAGGAGGTGGTGACATTCGAGATGTTAATACGAACTCTGAGAACTGGGCTGTTGTTAAAGCTGCGTTGGTGGCAGGCATGTACCCTAATTTAGTCCACGTGGACAGAGAGAATGTAGTATTGACAGGGCCCAAGGAGAAAAAAGTACGATTTCATCCTACTTCAGTTCTCAGTCAGCCTCAATATAAAAAGGTAAAATATTTTTGATGTTCTTATACCTTGAGATAAAACTAATTTAGATAGTTGGTGATCAATGAAAAATATCCCAAATACCTACCTGCTTTAAGAAATTAATTAATTATAATTACACATTGGAACATTTTGTTGAATCTTAGAGTAGAAGAGGTAACTTTAGAGGAGTAATGACTTTTATACAAATTATGTGAGCAGTGACTTAAGTTTTTTTGCTTGATGCTAACATGCACTATTTATTTATCAAGGGACTTTCAACACAGTATTCCCAAAAAGTTACATGATAAATAAAGTTAACAATTTTTAAATTTATTTTCCCAACAGATTCCTCCAGCCAATGGTCAAGCTGCAGCAATCCAGGCACTGCCCACTGACTGGCTTATTTATGATGAGATGACCAGAGCCTATAGAATAGCTAATATTAGATGTTGTTCAACAGTGACACCTGTTACTGTTTTGGTATTCTGTGGGCCAGCTAGGTTGGCAAGTAATGCTCTTCAGGAACCTTCATCCTTTAGAGGTAAATGTATAATGAAGGAAATAAAAATCTGTTTGAAATAGAAGATTTTGTTTTACTAAACCAAAATTTTTGTTAGGGTTAATAGTTTACTTTTGATATAGTAAGACAATTAGGAAATATTAAGATATACCACAGTTTTTTATCTTTTTGTTACTGGGAATCAAACTCAGGGCCTCCTGCTTGCCAGGCAGGTGCTACATCCCTGGCCTATATACCATTGTTCTTGAAATTAATTTCTAAGATAACTTGACATCAGTTTGTATATTTCTAATTAATCTTGTTGATGGAAGAAGTTCATTTTCTACTTGAATTCAAATGATAATTTAGGTAATTTTTAAAAGGAATTTAAAAATTTTTTAAAGGAATTTAAAAATTTAGGTAATTTTTAAAAGGAATAATGGTCACTAATAATGTACTTTCTAATATTTTCTACTTGTTACATAATTTTCCCATATTATTTTATATTCTGCTGTCTGCATTATATTAGATTATTTAAAACATTCTTAATGTTTTAGTCACTGTACAGTATTCTGTCATGAAAGTGATGTAATGCATTTACATTTTTTTACACTTGGACATATGATGTCTTTGAATTTTTTGCTACTCAATAAATATTGGTCAGATACTGTGCTAAGCATTGGAGGTGTAATAGAAACAACATGCTTCTGGGTCTGGCACTTTACACACTCTTGGCAATAGACAGTATAAATAGCTAATCCTCATGGTGTTACCAGGGAAAGAAAAAGAGGAATGCTTTAGGAGTAACCTACTTTAGAAAGCCTAAACAAGTTACTGTGAGGAGTGAAACTGAGACCTAGAGCTAGCTGCTCTGTGAAGAAAAGAACTAATGAAAGAACTAAGAAAAGAACTAATGAATTTGGAGGCCATAGCCAGTTCAAGGGAAGCTTTTAAAAGATTTTAAGATTTTACTTTAAGTGAGGGAGTGAGTACCATGATGTGATTTTCATTTGAAAAAGTCATTTTATCTGAGGCCATGGGTTGATACCAGGGAAAGAAAAAGAGGAATGCTTTAGGAGTAACCTACTTTAGAAAGCCTAAACAAGTTACTGTGAGGAGTGAAACTGAGACCTAGAGCTAGCTGCTCTGTGAAGAAAAGAACTAATGAAAGAACTAAGAAAAGAACTAATGAATTTGGAGGCCATAGCCAGTTCAAGGGAAGCTTTTAAAAGATTTTAAGATTTTACTTTAAGTGAGGGAGTGAGTACCATGATGTGATTTTCATTTGAAAAAGTCATTTTATCTGAGGCCATGGGTTGTTTTAGGGGACAAGAATGGCAGAGTAGACACAGGTAATAGGTTTTTTGAAGTGGTCCTAAGAGAGATGATAGCGGAGAACAAGTGGTGGCAACTAACATGAGAAAAGTAGATTCAGAATTATTTTGGAGGTGCTAGGAACTGCTGGGTTGAATATGACTGCTAAAGGAAAAAGAGGAGTCAATTACGACTCAGGTTTTATGCTTGAGTAGCTTGCTGAATATTTTTGCCACTTATTTGAGAGACAGAAAAATGGGAGAGGCAGGTTTTGTAACGGAAAACGCAAGAATTCCATTTAGTTAGGTTAAGTTAGATATGGGCAAGGCATCCTATGGGCAAGAAGTTTTTTTATGAGGCAGTTTGATATGCATGCCAGAGAAGAGGCTTGGACAGTAAAAGTTTAGAGTCATTAGGCAGATTGTAAGTGATATTTAAAACCATGAGAATGGATTTCCTAAAGAGAATAAAATGAGTAAAGGGAGATAGAGTGCCCTGGTGTTGGAGGTAAATATGTCTCAGGAAAGGAGAGGTCAGCTCTGTTAACTGTTACTTTGAAAAGTCAAAAAAGACATGAACTGAAAATTGTAACTTGTATTTGACCTGTGGTAGTCACCGATGACTTTGATAACAGCACTTTCAGTAGAACAATGGCAAGAGTTTTTATGGAGAAAATAGAAATAGCATGGTAGGTAAGTAATGAGAGTATAGACATGGTAGAGGTCTTCATACAGTGATGTCTTCATCTGTGTATTCTTTCATTGTTTAATACTTTCTTGGGTTAAAATTTCTTGCTTGATAAAGATTTATGAATATTATTTACTGTTTTTCCTCTGTACCGAGGCATAATTAGTAGAGCCAACAAGAGTGAATTTTCTTGTAATTACACTATCATTGGGTGTTTTAAAAATGAAATGTATTATTTAAAAAATAAGTCAAGATGTCTTTCATTTGCATTTTTAACTTTATCCTTGTCAAAAAGAAGTAATTCTTCATTCATTAGGTTATTTCCCTTTAGTGGAGTTGCTTATTTCATTTTTTCCCCATTTGCTTAATTAGATACTGTTGTTTTTCTTAAAAATTTGAATCATAGTTTAAGGTTTTAAGGATATTAGCCCTTTTTTCTACCATATTTAATGCAATCTCATTTATTTTAGTCTTCCATATTTTGATTTTTGTGTCTTTTTTAATAGTAAACTTCCAGTAATCATCTTCTTGTACTCTTTTCTGAAAGCAACAGTACTTTTGTGATTTTATTGTTTGTTTCAGGAGGTTTGTATATTTAATTTATCCATATCTTGTCTTTAGTTTAGCTGTATCTTTGGATTTTGGTTTTTTTTTTTTTTTGTCTTTTTGAGACAGGGTCTCACTATGCAGTTCAGGCTGTCCTTGAGCTCACTTTGTAGCCCAGGCTGGTCTTGAACTTGCAGCTATCCTCCTGCCTCAGCCTCCCATAGGCGTGCGCCACCATGCCCAGCTGTTTTTGGTAATGCTTACAAAGCGTGGACATTTTAAAAGAATTTTTGTTTTTTATTGTTATGATGAATATGTTTGCTGTGCTGTTTTCCTGGTGATCTGGCTTAATAGGGACATTGTGACAATCATTAATGTATTTTTATAAAAATTCTGTTACTTCATTAAGCCCTTATACATCCATTAGATTTTTTTGATTATGCAGTTGTGTTACCTGAAGGTTAATAAAACATTTGTTGCCAACCTTTTTTCCTCTTTTTTTTTTCCAATACTTTTCCATATTTTGGGAAACTGATAAATAGTCCACTTTGTCTTCGTGGATTATAAAGGTTTAAGTTCTAAAGTTGTGTCATTGATTATAATGTTAATTTTTGTTTGAATAGTTTTAATAGAAGTGGGATTTGTAATATATTTATAATAACATTTATAATTGTTTTAATAGTTTAGGATTTATACTACTACTGAATATTTTTCTAACATTTTATTTACAATTATATTGTTTATTGTTGAAACTGAATTGTAAGGTTTGTGCAGTATGTGCTTGTATGTATTGAGGTACCTGTATGTTTTAGGTTTTATAAAGTTTCAGGGTAAGGTTCAGATTTGCCTTATTAAATAATTGGTCAGTATTTGATTCCTTGAAAGTTTCAGAGACTAGGTGTTCTGAATTTGCTGGTTTCTTTAAGGCTTTTATTTTTTTTCCTAAATAGGTTTGAGTTTTTCCATTTCTTTTTCTTTTGGTTTTAGTAATTTTTAAAATAACATAACAGGATTTGAGGATTTCAAATTTATTGTGTAGTTACGCATTATATATCTTTTAGCTTGCTTTAATTTTGTAATACATTTTAGACTTTTATAATTTTATCTTGCTTGATCTTGTTGATAGATTTATGCTTGCTTCCTTCGTTAAATTTAAAGAGGCTTATCACTTAAATCTTTTCAAAGAACTAGATTAACGATTATTGCCATTTTATCTCTAATTCATCAGTTTTTGTTTTCACCTTCTATTATGCTTTGGATTTTAGGATATTTTTCTAAAGTGTAGTTTTTCAAGTTAAAACGTTTGAATTTATATGTGTTATTTTGAGCATTCTCTGTATTTTCTCCTACCTTTCTTTATGTTCTTAGCTTTTTTTTCATTCAGTTATTTTCTGTTTTTAATTCTTGTTGTTTGATTGCATTGTGATTAGACATTGTAGTCTTCAAAATGTATTACTTTTTTTCTTTTAAATATTGATAGTTAATGATCTACTTTATTTGGAGAACTTCTCACATAAGTTATGGTATGTCAGGAGGGTTAATGTGCTCAAAGAGTGTCTTTTCTGCTTATTGTTTTGCTATTAAAAGTGATTATTCTTTCAATATGTGTTGCGGCATCAGATGGCATTCCCAATGACAGTAGTGACAGTGAAATGGAGGACAGAACTACTGCTAATTTGGCGGCTTTGAAGCTTGATGAGTGGCTCAATTTTAAGCTAGAGCCAGAGGTGAGTTTCTTTTTAATAGGAAATAGAAAAGATGATTAAAAAATAGGCCAACATTTAAAGTAAAATTTTATTACAGTAAAATACACATTGCCCTTACTCTACTTTGCTTTGAACATACTTATCCTATCATTCTTGCCACTTCCTGAAGCAGTTGTGGAAGTTCTTTTTTATGAGTATCTTTATGCAGTCTGATCAGAAATACAGTAAATGTTGCTGCCTAGTGCTATCCAATGGAAAGGCAGGCTTATAAAAACATTACAATGTGTCCTCATCTATCTTATTCAGTGGACCTGACACTAGCAACTTCTGGCTTTTCCCCAAAGTCAAACTGATCATGACAGGTAAACATTTGGAATCAGTTCAGGACATTGAAACAGCCAGGGGAGTAACTAAAAACACTCGTATTTTTTTTTTAAATTCAATATAAATTAATACACAGTATAGTAAAATTTTTTATCTTTAATTCAGAGCCTTTAATATTGGAGAATACAGCTTTTCTCAGTTTTCATAAGATCCTCATGGCTGTTCTATATTGGTTTCTTTTTTTCCAGCAGAGGACTTGAAAAACCTAGTTGTGGTTCAGTATTTATTTATTTATTTATTTATTATTTATTTATTTATGGATGGTTTTTTTTTTTCTGGTACCGGGAATTGAAGTCACGACCTTGCACTTCCCAGGCAGGTGCTGTGCTGCTGAGCTAAATCCCCAGCCCCTGTGGTTCAGTATTTAATGCATGATTATTTTAATCCATTTGAGGACTTGAAAAACCTAGTTGTGGTTCAGTATTTATTTATTTATTTATTTATTATTTATTTAATGGATGGTTTTTTTTTTTCTGGTACCGGGAATTGAAGTCACGACCTTGCACTTCCCAGGCAGGTGCTGTGCCGCTGAGCTAAATCCCCAGCCCCTGTGGTTCAGTATTTAATGCATGATTATTTTAATCCATTTGTGCTACTGTAGAATGCCACAGACTGGGTAACAGGGCTTTATTTCTCACAGTTCTGGAGTCTGGGAAGTCCAAGTCCAGGTGCTGGTGAGGGTTGCTTCTGCTTTCAAGATGGCATCTTGAGCCCTGTGTCCTTTGCAGGGGGTGAGTGCTGTGTCCTCACAAGACAGAAGTGTAAGAGGCATGAACTCCTGCCAGGAGGTCCCTTATAAGGGTGTATGATTCCAATCTTCTCCCCAGTGTTACACCTCCTAATATTGTTCCTTGGGGGATTAAGTTCAACATGAATTTTTAGAGTAGACAAAAACATTCTGATAGCAGTAACACAAGTATTTCTGCATATATAAAAAAATACTGAATATTGGGTACCTGAGAACTCCTTTATTGTATATAATTCTGTTTTTGAGAGAAAGATAGGAGTTCATTTTGTTTTCTTGTTTCATATACCTTTGAATTGGGAAGAACAAAGATTATTTTCAAATTTAAATTTCTTGAGAAAGCCTTCCTTTAATTACATCTGTGATTCAAAAAAAATCTATAGCCATTGGGGAGGTGAGAGCTAAGCTGTCAGTAGTCAGCAATGGGTAGGTTTACTTTTTTGTTAATCGTCCATTCATTCATCACTCCAGCTTACTGTAATCTTTTCCATTCCCAACCCTTTATTTCACTGAAATTGTCCTAGGTGAGGTCATCTGTGTTCTCCACTCCTTCGTATTGTCAAAGCCAGTCTGTCCTTGATTGCCCTTAATACTTGATTCTTAATACTTACCTCCTTTTAATAATTCTGCCCTTCCCCACTTTTTTCTCCTTACTCCTGCCTGCTCTTCTTTATCATTAGTTACTGTAACATTAATGCTTTTTAATTCTTCTCATGTATTCATTCCTTCTTAGGTTAATTCACTAATTCTTATGTATGTGTTTGTGCTTTAAATTTTACATTCACTTGTTCTCTGTGCCTTGCTCTTTCCTCACTCTTGGTGCACAGTTTCTGGGAATCTTTCCTATCTTTGTAGCTTTAGTAACCATGTATGCACTCATCACTCCCAAGTTTGTATCTTTGGCTTGGGCCTTTCTGTGAATCCAGATGCCTTCTGGGCATCATCATCAGGATGCTGTGCAGGCACTAAGTTTGGATATAGCTAAATGTATTTTTCTTTATTTAGCTTGCTGCTGCTTTTTCAGTATTAGTCACATTCTAACAACCAGTGTTGACTATCTGCCTTTTTAGGCTCTTTCCTTTGATTTCTTGATACGATAAGTAAGAAATTTCATTTGTGAAGTAAATGATTGAAATTAGTAATAAATTATATTAAATGTAAACTATACTCTTTGGAAATAGTTGTAGACCTTAGTGATAAACAAATAAATATCTTATGTATGTAATTACATTGTGGTTTATCTGTTCGAATAGGCAGCCAGTTTATTGCTGCAACTCAGACAGAAGTGGCACAGCTTATTTTTACGCCGAATGAGAGCTCCATCTAAACCTTGGTCTCAGGTTGATGAAGCCACCATAAGAGCAATTATAGCTGTTCTAAGCACTGAAGAACAGTCTGCAGGTTTGCAACAACCATCTGGGATTGGCCAAAGGCCACGGCCTATGTCTTCAGAAGAACTTCCTTTGGCATCATCTTGGAAGGCAAATAATAGTAGGAAAAGTGCAGCAGATTGTGAATTTTCTGATGAGACTACTACTACAGAAAGGTAAATTATAAATGGGAGAGGATTTCTTCAAGAGAATTATGTATGATATTTAATAATTACTTTCTCATAATCTAGACTGAATAAAAATACTATAAAATTATTTTTTATTTGTGACATACTTCTTCAAGGTTGATAATATGAAGGATTTTAAGATACTGTTATGTATTTTTGAATTAATAAGGCCATTCTTTCTAGGAAAATTGAAAATGTTTCATTTTCAGGACTTACACATTTAAGATATCTTACCAAATTTTCTTTTTCTTTTTTTTTTTTTTTTTCTTTTTTTTTTTTTTTTTTGGTACCAGGAATCAAACTCAGGACCTTGCCATGAGGTCCCTGGAAAGTTCTTACCATGAGTTATTTATGTAAAGAGTGTAGTTTAGGAGTAGTGTTTGTAATGAATCATTGACCATGAGTTAAAAATATTTCTGGTCATGGAAGCATTTTAAGTTATTTTGTATCAGTTAAAAACTTTTTGAACCACATTGGAATTCATAATAAAGTTAATATTCTTTCTGTGAGACAAGTTTTGAACAATAATAGTAGAAAGTCTTGGTAGTAAGAATATGATTTCAGCCTGACTTTGTGGTACATGCCTCTAATTCCAGCAGTCTGGGAGGTTGAGGTGGAAGGCTTGCAAATGTCAGCCCAGCCTGGTCAACTGAGCAAGACCCTGTCTCAAAATAAACAAACACAAAAGGGTTAGAGATGTGACTCATTGGGGAATCCCTAGTTTAACCCCTTGTACTGAGAAAAAAAAAGATTTCTTAGTTTAGAAACTGAAAATAGAATTAGTAGAAATACAAAGTATGTGATGCTTATTTTTTTTAGGATGACATAGGGTTTTTAGCTCCCTCTTTGATCAGATTTTGCATATTGGTGAAGCAAAAGCCTTGGTAGATTTGTCTGCTGACTTCAGTGAAAGAAGAACAAAAAATACTAGTTTCCAAGTTCTTTAGGGAATGACTCAGCTAGTATCCAAGAAAAGGTTGTAATGTATGTGCCTGAATGTTTCTGTTTGGTGTAGGTTCTACTGAGAGAAAAGACTAAAAAGTACATTTTCTATTTGTGTGCTCTTCACTCTTTGAAAATATTGTTCTAAAGTTTTCTTTAGTTTTAGAATGTGGGAATTATTTCCATAAATATTATGTGTTACTCATACGAAAAATCTGTTAGATCCATAACAACACAATACTTATGTGTATATAAATGCATATATATGTATGTGTGTATATGTGCACAACATATTTTTAGAAATAAATCCTTTCTTGATAAAAGCAAACTGCATGTGGTGGCACATGCCTATTATCCCAGCACTCAGGAAGCTGAGGCAGGAGGATCACTTTGAGTTCTAGGCCAGCCTGAACTACATAAGGAGACTGTCTTAAAAAGAAAGGCAATACATGAATAAAAAAATGGGAAAATACAAATTAAACATATATCTATGCTATAAAATCAGTCATACCTTAGAAACAGATTATCTTAAAAATTTAGTTTTTAAATCTGGTATTACCATTAGTCTTTTTCAGTTTTTGGAAATCGTAGTCTGCTACTTTTCATTCTCTTACCTGAGCAGTAGGATAAGAATTGCATTCATTTTTAACCTTTTAGTAATATTAATAAATGAAGCCTGGAGATCCTTGATGAGTAATAGAATCAAAAGTATTAGGAAGATGTCTGTATGTGTGTGGTATATACGTATATATGTATCTCTAAGCCTTTTTTTCTTTTAAATTAATATACATACTTATGGGGTAGAGTATAATGTTTCAGTATGTTTATACAATGTGTAATGATTAAGTTAACCTCTCCATCTCTTTATTTCTTTATATTTGGAGCCATTGAATGCCCCTTTTCTAAATCTTCGTAAAATATATAATAGTTTTTTATAAACTATAATCACCCTTAGAAAATATACTTTTTATTTAAAAATTTTTTTTATAGTACTGAGATCGACTTCAGGACATTTTCACTAAACTACCTCCACAGCTTTTTTTTCTTTTAACTTTTTATTTTTTTAAAATTTTTTTATTTTTTATTTTTTTTTCTGGTACTGGGTATCAAACTCACGACCCTGCGCTTGCCAGGCAGGTGCTGTGCTGCTGAGCTAAATCCCCAGCCCCTAACTTTTTATTTTTTGATTGGGTCAGTAAGTTGCCCAGGCTGGACTTCAGCTTGTGATCCTTTTGCCTCAGTCTCCAAGAGTGCTAGGATTATAAACATGGGCCATTGTACCCAGTTTTTAATTTTTAAATACACTTGGAGAATTAAGTTTCCTTTAAAAATACTATGCCAAAAAAAAAATGCAGTGCCATATATCATAATGTCATTGGCACTCTGGATTGAAATAATAATCTGCTTTGTATTCTAAACTTATGGATAATTGATATTTATTTTCTCCTTTTTGTTCAAGAGTACTGATGAAATCTCCATCTGCATCATTACATCCACCTCAGAAATACAAAGATAGAGGAATTTTACATCCTAAACGAAGCACAGATGACCGATCAGATCAGTCTTCTGTAAAATCTACAGATAGCAGTAGTTACCCAAGCCCTTGTGCTAGTCCTTCTCCTCCATCCTCAGGAAAGGTAGAGTATCTAAAAATAGATGTAGTAAGGAAGAGATTTGTAGCATGTCTAATGTCACATATTTAAATATTTAACATGTTCTTGCTGACTTGTACCACTGGTGGCATGTGCCTGACTGTCCCATTGGGTAGCTTGTACCACCTGATAGGACTGTCCCATGCCACCTGATGGGACAGCCATACATGTACCAGTGGTGGTGGTTCAGCACCACCTGGCTGCAAGATATATGAATATGGCCTTGTTATGAAAGTGTTAGCATTATAAAAACTTCTAGTCTGGCTTCTGTTCTATACATAAATTTAAACTGGCAAACTCGAGGCACTTGAAATAAATATGTAAGTTCTCTGTTTGCCAGACATTTCTAATTATTACTGTTCTGGGGTATTTTGAAAGTAATGTATTATTCACTGATGGCATTATTCATTTATTTCTTTAGAGCTCTTTTGGTTAAATAACAAAGAAATTATCCTAAATTAATTTTCGTTTTTATTTTCAGAATTAAAATCATTAATTTCTTTTGTTAATTTGTACAACTCAGTACTTCCTAAAATACAAAAAATTAAAATTAAAAACTAAGATATAGAAGACAGTTTGAGGTTAGGAAGATTGAAGATGTTGATAATGGAATTGAAAGTAATGTCTTTTAAAGAATTTGTAATATGAATAACTTCATATGTTTAGAATGTGTTTACTTCTACTTTTCTGCATTGTTAGTACTTGAATAAATATTTGAGGAGGGGTTATTTAGCTACATGAAAATATCTACTTAGCAGTTTTGTTAAGTAAGAGGAAATATTTTTGTACATTTGCATTCTTAGGTTTTAGGGTGTTTGGTTTATTTTTAAATATGTCTATTAAGTTTTAATTTAAAGATAATAAACTTTGCCAGTTTAAACTGTGCAATTTACTGAATTTTGACAAATGTGTATAATTGTGTAACTACACCATACTCATTTACAGAACAGCTCCATTGCCATAGTTGCTTGTGACCACTGATAGACTCTCTATCCCTAGAGTTTTACCTTTTCTAGAATTTTCTATAAGCATAATCATTTGCAGATAGTTTCTTTTGTCTGGCTTATTTCGTTTAATATTATGCTTCTGAAATTCATCCATATTGTTGAGTTTTGTCTTAGTCACTTTCTCATTGCTGGGACAAAATACCGGACATCTGCAGTTTAAGGGAGGAGTCATTTTTGGCTTAAGTTTCAGTCCACAGTCAGCAGGCTCCATGGCAGGACAACCCAGTAGAGGGCATGGTAGACAGAAAGCAGAGAGTCAAGAAAGTTGCAGAGAAGGGAGATCTAACCTTCAAGAAACCTCTTTTAGAAAGTTATCTAGGAGAATAGTTAGGTCATATGGAATTTCTAGTTTTAGTTTTTGAGGAATCTCTGTAGTGATTTCCATAGTGGTTATATTAGTTTACCTTTCCCCCAATAATGTAGAAGAGTTTCTTTTTCCCCTGCAGCCTCTTCACAATTTGTTATTTGATTTCTTTAATGATTGCTATGCTTTTTGGGCTAAGATGAAATCTCGCTGTTATTTTAATTTACATTTCTCTAATGGTCAGTGATGCTGAGCATTTCTAGCATATCTTTATTGGCCATTTATACTTCTATATTCATTTTGCTTGCCTATTTTTTGATTGGGTCTTTTACTTTGGGGGCTTTTTTTTTAGTTCTTTATATGTATTCTAGAGTGTCTTCTGTTGGAGGAATTGCAGGCAGAATTTTTTACCATTCTGTAGGTTGTCTTTTTACTCTGTGGATTCTTTTGCTGTGTGGACTCTTAATCTGATACGATTCCATTTGTTGATTTTCGGAACTGTTTCCTGTGCAACTGGCATCTGTTTCGAAAGCCCTTGCCTGTACCTATGATTTCAGGAGTTTTTACCTATTTTCTCATCCAGCAGATTAAGTGTTTCTGGTTTTATTTTGATCCATTTTGATTTTAGTTTAGTACATGGTAAGATGTAAGGATGTAGATTCAGTCTTTTGCGTGTGGATAGCCAGTTTCCCTGCACCATTTATTAAAGAGGCCATCTTTCCTACCTCCAGTGTATATTTTTTGGGCCCTTTGTTAGAGATCAAATGGTTGAATGTACTTGGGGTTGTTTTTGCATCCTCTATTCTGCTTCATCAATCCTCATGTCTGTTTTTGTGCCAGTAACATGCTTTTTTTTTCCTTTTTTGGTTTTTAGAGACAGGGTCTTGCTATGTAATTCAGGCTGGCCTTGAACTCACTTTGTAGCTCAGGCCGGCCTTGAACTTGGAGCGGTCGTCCTGCCTCAGTCTCTCGAGTGCTGGGATCACAGTTGTGCACCACCACACCTGGCTCCATGCTGTTTTTAATCATAGTAGCTTTGTAATATAAGCCCAGGATCATGATCCCTTCTGCTTTGTTCTTTTTTACTCAGGATTGCTTTTGCTATTATAGGTCTGTTCTGGTTCCATATGAATTTTAGGATTGTTTTTTCCAGTTCTGTGAAGAACGTTGTTGGTATTTTGATTGAGATTGCATTAAATCTGTATATCAGTTTTGAAAGTATGGCTAATTTGACTATATTGATTCTACCTACCCAGGAACAGGAAATACCGTTCCAGTTCATGATGTCCTCTTCAGTTTCCTTTTTCAGAGTACTATAGTTTTCATTGTAGGCAGCTTTTACTTTCTTAGGTTAATTCCTAAGTATTTAAATTTTCTTGGTGGTATTGTGAATGGTATTTTTTTACCTATTTTTTTTCTAAGTGGATTCATTATTAGTGTACAAGAATGCTACTCTTTTTTGTGTGTTGATTTTGTATTCTGCTACATTACTGAATTTTTCTAAGAGTCTTTGGTGAATGTTTTGGGATCTTTGGCTATGTCTTTATGTTTACTGTTATTTTTAGTGTGTCATGTAATTGATTCTTTCTAATGTTTTCAACTATTACGTTTTTATCTCCAGAAATTCCCTCGGAGTCTGTAAAAATTTCTTTATTTCTTTACATTATGTTCATGTTTTCTTGTACCTTCCTGAACATTGTGAACATATTTTTATTAGCTACTTTAGTTGCCTTGTCTCCTAAATCTCTGCCTTATATGAGTCTGCTTCTATTGATTACTTTATTCATGGTAATAGAATATATTCTTTAGCTTTTTCCTCATTTCTTATAAACTTATTTACTTGCTAGATAATTGGTATAGTCCCTTAATTAATGTTAGGCTTTGTTCTGTTGCATAGTTTAGTAATAACTAGTTTAATATTTTTGAGGTATGATTGCAAGTAGTGTTAGAATGGATCCAGAATAATCTTTACTCTGATATTAATTTAACTTTACTACTAAGGTGTGGCCCTTCTGTGGGACAGTTTCCTAAGTATCACAAGGTCTGTATTCTGGCTGAGGAGAACATGAAATACTGCCAGTCAAATATGAGTTCTCATAATGGCGTGGTGTACAGCTTTCCTTCAGATCCTTTCCTAGACTCAGTACATTTTGTTTGTTACTCATTTAGGGTCAGTGGGGACCTCTCTGCAGTTCTCTGGAGCTCTCTATGCAATCCCTTTCTACCTAGTACATTGCCACACAAATTGTAGCTTCCTTATTCTCTAAACTCCAATGTCTGTCTTTGCAACTCATGGAGACTGCTGGATTATTTGTTTCTTTTTGTCTCCTAGAAATTGTCTTTAGGCAGTTAACTGGAGAAATTTTAGTTTTGTTTTCAGAATTTGAAAGTTTATTAAAAATTTTTCTGATAATATATTTGAAATATAAATCAAAATTGATAACCCAGGATCCTTTTTTTGATAAAACATTTTGAATGCTTTAAAAGGGAATAATGATTTTTTGGCTCAAAATTTAACTTCAGCTGGACACGAGGCCGCACACCTGTAATCCCAGCACTCAGCAAGCTGAGGCAGGAGGATCACTGTGAGTTCGAGGTGAGCCTGGGCTACAGAGTGAGTTCCAGGCCAGCCCTGAACTGCATAATGAAATTCTGTCACAAAAAAAAAATATAACTTCATTTTGGCTGACCCTTGTATCAATTTTCAGGCATGATAGAGTTGTTTGCATTTGTTAAATGTTTTGGTAGATGAGTACGTTATTTCTTTTTTTGAAGATGTTATATAATGGACTCTACTGCTTTTGAAAGGTTAAATTACCTTTCAGGAACTTGTGCATTTTTTATAGGGTTCAAAATCTCCTTCACCAAGACCAAACATGCCTGTTCGATACTTCATAATGAAGAGTAGCAATCTGAGAAACCTTGAAATTTCTCAACAGAAGGGTATCTGGTCTACTACCCCAAGTAATGAGCGAAAGCTAAATCGAGCCTTTTGGGAAAGCAGCATGGTTTACTTGGTATTTTCTGTTCAAGGATCTGGACATTTCCAGGTGAGCCATAGTCAAAACAGTAGAATGGGTTTGTTCTGGCTATAGATTACACTGGACAGAAAAAACAAAACAACACTGTCTCTTTATTTTGTTGGGATACAAGAATGTCTTTTGATCAATGTTTTACATTTCTTCAAAGGGATAAATAGAACTAAGAACTTAGATTCATTGGTTCTCAGGTAGATTAAAAGAAAAGAGAAACTTTACCTTCTGATAAATAGGTTGAAAAAGTTAGTATTGACAATGAAGAAACTATGCTTTAACTCTTCTTGACTTATTGTATATATGAATTTATAAAATAGAGTTTATTATTGATGTTAAACATTGTAAGAATAAAAATACAGAGGTTTGATTGTGTGTGTGTGTGTTTTTTCCAGGGTTTTAATTTTATTTATTTTATTTATTTTTTGCTTTTTGAAAAAGGGTCTTGCCATGTAGTTCAGGCAGTCCTTGAACTCACTGTGTAGCCCAGCCTGGCCTCAAACTCATGACAGTCCTCCTGCCTCAGCCTCCTGAGTGCTGGGATTCACCACCACGCCCAGCCTACATTTTTGTGTAATACATATGGGCTTAGAACTATCAATGCATTAGAGACTCTTTTTTTTTTTTTTTTTTTTGGTTTTTCT